ATAAAATAAAAATCTAGGAACAAATAATTAATCCATCCATTATCTTTACCCACTTCTTCCTTTTCGGGTCGTGGGGGTCACTGGTGCTGCCCATATTCAGCCATCACAGTGCGAGAGGCAGGGGACACCCAGGACAGGTGTGTCCAGGGTGTCCCATCACAGACAAATAATTCAAAATATATAAATACAAACGTAAATAGACTTCAGCCTACCGTACTGCATTAACCTTTAACTCAAAATAAAATACAGACCATAGTTTTTTTTCAACCATATTGCTCTAACTTTTGATATATTTTCAAAACTTAACCTAATATGAAATATACAGACTTCACAGTCTTAACCATATTGATTCATATTTGGTAAATATTTAACAAAATTTTCCTAACCTGTGCAAGTTTGCACAAAAACTCTTCTGAACTGTAATTTTTAAACTATTTAAATTGTGTAATTTAGAACTGGCTCCAGGCGATGTCTCATCTGGCCTTTCTTCAACCTATTAAAGACAAATTACATTAAGTATTTTTTGTTTAACTTTTCTATATAAGTTTTAGTATAATATGATAAAAAAAACAGTTACCTTTGAGCTGTAGCTGGTGCTTCTCCCACTTTATTTTTGTTTCATGGTGGAGTTGTGGGGTGGCACTTTTTTATCACTAAAAATCTATGTGAAGGAATAACGTACCTTGGGTCCAGCATATTAAAAATAAACTTAAACCCTTCGACTGAGCTGTATGCTCGTAAATCCTTTGTGATATAGCAGGCGATGGAGTGGGAAATCTTCACAGCCTTTGTGGAATCAGCTGGAAGTTTGTTTGCCCCAGGGTTCGCTGGTCGGCTTCTTCGCTTTCATCTTCCTTCCGCGCATTTGTCGTATTTTCAAAATACTGTACCGCAATTTTATTTTACACTTCTTGCAAAACAGCTGTACTCTTGTTAAGCTCTGTCTTCTCCGGAACATTGTAGAATCTGAAACAACTTTACACTGAGTTCTAATGATGGAGTGGGTTGAATCTCGCTGTCCTCCGCTCCGTGCTAGCGGACTCCATTCAGGTAAAGGGATCTGGCTAACTAGCTTGCTGTACGGTGGCCTACAAGGTCAAATTCTGCGGTGACAGGTGGACGTATAATGCAATATACAGTATGCTCAGGAGTAGAAGCGGAAAATAATAAAACTTAAACCCATTTTAAAATCGATTTATGGGCCTTAAGATTTGATTCAAAATTGCCAGGACTAGAAATCTAAATTCTTTAATTAATCTTTTTTTTTTTTCTTCTGCCCCCCTAGTCCAGGATGTGTCCCAATTCTCAAGGCTCTTTCACAAGACTTTCTCAATACTCTTTCACATTGTGGGGCTGGGACACATTCTGGCTGCCTTGGTGTGATTTCTGAATAGGCCAAGGTGGGGGTGGGGTGAGTGTCATGCTAGCCCTCATCTGGTGGGCCTCTGTGCCGCCCAGTAAGGTAGTGATAAATGCAGAATGGCCAACATATGGAAAAAGGCACCTCAGTAACGTGATGAGCCAATAGTGCACATCTACCCAGTCACGGGATTAAACAATAAATTTATTACAGAGGGAACGTTACTAATTATATGCTGCTTTCAACTTTGTAGTTGATAAAGAAATGGGTAACCACAAAGAGGATTGCTAAAGTGAGTAAATTTATTATGCTTTGTAATATGCGCAAGGCAGACGCCAGTCACACATTTATCACATCTGAGTTCTGCTCTACCTCTCTTGGTTCCACACTGCCCATTTCATTGTAGGAAACTTAAGTCTGTGCAGCAAGTGGCCGACTTCATCTGTGATTTATGAACAGCCAGAGAAAGACCTAAAGACAGACTGGTCTGTGCGACCATTTGGTGAACTGTTCTGAGCCTACAGTGTCCTCTGGAGATGGGTGCCAGCTGCCCCACAACCCATCCATCCATTCATTATCTTCACCCGCTTCTTCCTTTTTGGGTCGCGGGGGTCACTGGTGCCCGTGTCCAGCCATCACTGTGCGAGAAGCAGGAGACACCCTGGACAGGTCTCCAGTACATCACAGGGACACATGGAGGCGAACGAGACAAACAACCATATACTCTCTCATACTCACCTAGGAACAATTTAGAGCCTAACATGTATGTCTTTGGTCTGTGGGAGGAAACCAGAGAAAACCCACGCATGCACGGAGAGAACATGCAAATTCCACCCAGAAAGGCCCCTGGACTGGAATTTGAACCAGGGACCTGCTCGCTGAAAGGCAGCAGCTCTACCAACTGTGCCACCGTGCTGCCGCCCCACAACCCAAAATGGAAAAGGCTGGTGAAGAAAATGAATGAATGTGCAGTTTGCTGAAGTTCACAGTAGTTCAACTAAATCTTCACAAGTAGTTAAACTAATTTGATGCGATTGTGAAGTGAATGTTTGTCACTTTAAGTAAAGGCAACCCCCCCAAAAACACTAAATGTTTGTAGAGTGGAGTAAAATTGACTCGATAATGACTTGGCCAACATTAGACGGGTGGGACCAGCTGTTCAGTTATGAATCAGTTTAAAAATAAAATCCAGTCTTGCACACCAATGATGCAATCTGTTTCCTCAGAAAAGTTTATGTGCAAAATTTAGCTTGTTCACAAGACGTCCACACCTACCGGTAATTGTTTTATAACTAGACTTGTTTCACACATTCACCTCCCATCTATTCAAGAAGAAAAGCGTGTCTGGTGGTCACTCCCTTTGTGCTACTTTTCTAACTAACCTAACCTCAGACTCAAAACATAACAGCAGTAGGAAAAGAACGGTAAGAAAGTTTAGGACCTTCATTTTTTAAATATTTTCATACAGTAAATGACAAATCGGTCACTACAGGAAACGACGGCTATATGGATAATTCACCACTTTAAATCTTTGTAGCTCTGTTCTTTCAGAAGAGCATTACTCATTTGTTTGACTGCGCATTGGCTGCTGATGCACTGTTGAGCTGGTATGACCGACTAAGGGCTATTTTGAGACATGAGGATTTCTATTTCACTGATGAAATTGCTGCTTTTTATGGATTTCCCTAAAAATCTACCATAGTCACTCATACTTGTAAAAATTTATATTTGCCAAATGTCCAAATAGAGAAATGGTTTTTTGTTTCAAAGTTACAAGTTTACATACATTTTCTTAGTATTTGGCAGGATTGTCTTTAAACTGTATGACTTGGGTTAAGCAGTTTTGTTTTCTTAAGGTTCACACAATAGGAATTTCCTACCATTCTTAAAGACAAAACTGGTGAGACAGAGTCAGGCTTGTAGGCCCCCCTCGCTCACACCTTTGTGGCCCTGTCCACTTCTATGGGGCTGAGATCAGGACTTTGTGATGACCACTCCAAAACATGGAACTTGTTGTCTTTAAGCTACTTTTTAACTACTTCGGCAGGGTCATCTTCCATTTGGATAACACTTTTTATGTCCGATCTTTAACTTCCTGGCAAATGTCTTGAGATGTTGCTTCAATATTTCAATATACTGTTCTTTTATCATGATGATATACTGATTTAACAGTGAGAATTTAAAAAAAATTGGTGTCCTTTTTATACAGTGTAAAAATCTGCTTTTAACTGTAAATACAAGTTGCATCAAACAACAGTTTACATTAAATTACAGGAAACGAAGATAGTCAAATATAAATGTGCAATGGCCAAATATTATATAGATTCAACAACCGTTACAACAAAGATAAATGAAAATTGTTCAGTCTTTACGTAATTTTATACCTCACACTTCCTGGAATAAAGAAATCCTTTAATAGCTATAAAGTTAAAGATGTGATTTACAGTTGACTTATTTATCAGCTTCAGGCATAGAGGTTTGATTTAAATAATGGCAAAGAAAGAAATGGGAAACATTTTTACTCGCAGATCTAAAATAGATGTGGAGTCATTGTGTCCCAGGTGGAATTTAAATCTTGGATGCTACTCAAAGAAGTATGATGTCTGTTGGCCTTGCACTTTCTTTTTAGTCTTGCACAGTCATGCATTGAACATCCAGCTTTACCAGTTTTACGAATATATGCTACATTACTTCTTTATTACAGCAGACATTGACCTCTTTTCCCCACATTCTGATTACAGCTGTAGTATCTATAGACAGTCAGTGCATCCTGCTCATTTTATGGTTTTTCAAAGTAAGTTGGAACCGAAAGGAAAAGCAAGTTGAAATGTTGCTTAACCCTGTTCTCTGTTACCTGATTACTTGCCTGCTTTAGACCAGGTAGTAAAAATGCAGTACTATTGCTCCAACCAGGCAAGAGTCGACTGAAAATATTTTTATTTTGCTGTTAAAGGAAGCTACTTGGATTTGGTATTGGTTGATATGACATCAAATGAGCTGAAAAGTAATTATTACAGTTTAGGGAAAAAAGCTCATAGGTCACAAAACTAAAAAAAATATATATGTATATACATGAACAACTAAGTCCCTATTAAACTGTGTGCTTCACAGCTTACTTAGTATATTTGTTGCTCATTTAATTATATTTATGTTATTAAACACTTGAATTTGTGATGTTTGAAATAATTGCTCCAGAAACTGTTTGTGTAGGCTGATAGTTAATGTTGTAATGTTAGTTAACAATTTTTTGTTAGATCTGAAATTACTTTATTATAGTTACAAAACAATAAACTAACCATAAATACTTATTTTGTTCTTCTTTTTTCTGCAGTGCCAGAGCATACAACATCAAGACGGTCCTTAATCTATACCACGCCACCCACCTTCCCCACCCAGTTTGCATGTACACAGGCACACACACAAATCTATACACACAAACAGTCCTCAGCGATGCCAAGGGGGGCTGATCAGCCTGCTGCCTGCTCTGACCTGCCCTGCCTCCTCACCTCACACCCTTGAGGCTGTGCTCACTAGGCGCCAACCTTTGACCTACCCTGTATAAAGCTGGGATCCAAAGGTCACCTGTTCTCCACTGAAGCCGGGAACACCCTCCTGTCGATCCAGGAGCTGCAGCCACCAGTGGCATTCAGAGGTAAATGGTGGAGAAAAAAAAAAAACATCAAAAGTGGTTTGTTTTTGGTCAGTATTCTCATCTGCAGGTTATCTGATAGGAAGAATTCAAGGGAAATATTAATTTAACTTGCTATAAATTATAACAAGTGTATGGATTTTGGCTGAAAGGTTTTTCATACATGTAGGATTTTTTTTTTTTTTTTTTACTTTTCCCCCAAAATCATTGGGATACACAGATTAAAATATTGTTTTACATTTACATACATTTGAATTAGCATTTGAGTAATGGTTTAAATTTATCCCCAGTAATTATATGTATCTAATTCAAAACACCTCAGAGATTCAAAAATAATATTTATATTGCAGAATATTTGTAGGTCTTTAGCATTGGGGTGTCAGTCAGGGATTAAAGAATAAAACATTTTGAGCTGAAGGGAAAGTCATTCTTATTTGACATTAAGTACCATTAAGAGGGGGAATGTGTGGTCCATAAGAAAACTTGATGATTTTCATAGATCCTTAATTGATTAAAATACTTGAATCTTTGTAGTTTACAAAATGAATAACGACTTGAGATTTAGTTACAAATTTACTAATACACTTATTCTTACAAGCCCATCTTTTGATCTTATCCAGCTTTAAAATTCTTGTTTTCTTTTTTAAAGCTTGATTTTCATTGGATTGCCTCCTTATTCCAACTATTTCTAACATCTACTAACTTTGTTTTCTCTCTTTTTATCTCCCTCTAAGTCTTGACAGTCTCCCCCTTTCTGTTTCCAGGCATGGCTCCCATTCGGGATTCCGTCAGCCATTCCCCTAATCAAACAGGTGACAACACATTGCCTTCTTGTTTTACTCTTCCTTTTCTTCTTCCTCCAAATGTCTTGCTCTAAATGTCTTGCTCTGGCTCTCTGCTTGGAAATTGTCAGACTGGGGCCTTGACTTTATACTCCTGACATTTAATCAGTGCCTATCAGTAGGACAGAAATTAATGAGAGAGAAATGTTTAATTTTAACAGTCACGGTCAAGGTTTCTTTATTGTCATTCGCATCGTATGTGGTACATGTGGTGGAACGAAATTGTGTACACAGGGTCCCAGTTAAATCCAGCAAAAGTGTAAATTGTAAAAGAAAAACAGTAATAAGATCTAAAATATGAACCAAGAGATACTCTAAATTAAGAATACGCTAAAGTGCAAAAAAATAAGTTGAACAACAGCAGCACGAACATGAGTCTGTGTGAGCAGATGAGTACAAATGAACACAGCAGCATGAAATAAAGCTTGCATTACACACTGTCCTTTCATACTTCAAAATCTAGTTGGTTGCGGCTCTGCCTCGTATTTCGAACACCTTTAGAGATCATCTAAGATTGTTTGAATTACATTAACTTTACTTCTGGGCAGTTTAGTAACTGTTGTAAATAACATTCTCCTGTTTAAAAACTGCTTCACCAAGTAGTTCTCATGTTTAAAGTATTACTTTAAAGCTCACGTTTCAGTTGAAACTAATGTTGGTCTCTCCTGTCAGGGTGTTGTTTCAGTAGCAGAGACTGATAAAATATTTTATATAACAGATTACTATAGTATTTTGCAATTGCAATTCAACAAAGAATCTGTCCAGAGGACCTGACTCAAATTTGTTACCTTTGCAAATACTTTAGTGGCAGAATAACTGTGTGTATACAAAACAAAAACATGACTGGATTGGGTGGGACCTGTTAAATCTAATTTTAGAAAACCTACCGGGTCTGGATACCAATGTTCTCAGACAATTACCATCCCAAATGCCTCTGCCTCCTCTCCTCTGCCAAACTCTGTCGTCAATTCCTTCATCCTCTCTGTTTTCTTACTGAGTAACCATCCCTCCTGTGTCCTTCATCTCCTCTCCTGCTGACAAGTCATCGTCTGCCTCATTGAATCTTAGTTAATAGATTTGGCATGCGTCCGAGTCCTCCTGTGGGGACAAATTAGTGACACCTGTGTCCAGGCTCAGGCCTGGCAATAAAAACATCCAGGACTGTTGGCAAGCTAAACTTTGAGACAAATGGTAAAATTTTAGTGTGAATGAGGATTTTATTATAGTGTGTCCAGTGGGCACTCTGCAGTAAGTTATTAAACAGTTGTCAAAAACAAGTGGAGTGTTGGTGAACATTTTTCTTTCTTTTTGGTTTGGCGATGGTGTGAAATTTAAAGGGACAGTTTGAGTTTTTGGAAGTTTTGATGAGTTGAAGCAGTGAATATTCATTATCGTGAAATAAGTGTGCCAAATAAGCACGAGATCCTGAACTGTTTCAACAAACATGTTGTTGCTTCTAGTTCTTTATTTGACACAATTACTAATGGAAAATCAGCCACTTCCCCTAATAACCAAACTTCTACAAATCAAATCTCTCTTACAAGTCAATCCTCAGAAAATCACACCTTTTCTCTTTCTCTGTTCTCATTTAGTGAGGTAGATAAACTGTTAAAATGTCTAGACCCTAAAAAATCTGCAGGACCAGATGAACTTCCACCTTATTTCTTAAGGCTGGCTGCTCATATTATTGCAGTACTGGTGTCCCACATCTTTAACCTGTCCATGAGCCAGAACTCCATCTCAGACACTTGGAAAACAGCCTTTGTTCTCCCTTTGCTCAAGGGAGGTGACCCCACATCAATGAACAATTATTGATCAATCTCTAAACTCTGCATTTTAGTCAAGGTTCAAGAAAAACTGATAAACTCTCAAATCAAAAAGTATCTGGACTCATTTAACATCTTACCTCTCCATCAATGTGGTTTCAGGAAACAAGCACAACGACTGCTTCACTGAAGGTTTTTAATGACATTGTTGAAGCACTGGATGCTAAGGATTATTGTGCTGCACTTTTGTTAGATCTGTCTAAAGCTTTTGACACTGTGGATCATAACATCTTGTGTCATAAGCTCTCAGAAATTGGTTTCTCAGATCATAACATTGGTTGGTTCTCTAACTTTCTGATCAGAGGCAATGTGTTCAACATAATGGTATTTTCTCCAGTTATTTAAGAGTACCACAAAGCTCAGTCTTAGGACCCACCCTTTTTACAATTTACATAGGTAACGTAGGTCAGAGCATCCCTGATGCATCCTTACACTTAGGTCGTTTTCACACTAGATAGTCCAGTAGACTCGGTTCGGTTTGGGACCAATATTCATGACCTTTTGTTTACATTTGAGCTGGTGCGTTTGCATTCACACTGCACTGTGCAGTCAGTCAACCTGTTGAACCAACCTGTTCCCCCGCTCGCCTGAGGGGGCGCTGCACCAAGAACTACTGAAAGAAACGACACAAAAACCTCTGAAGACACGTCTTCTTCTTCTGTAAATAAAAATAAAAACGAAGTGGCATCAAGTTTTAGCAGTTTTAGGAGTTATATTTTGTCATTTTTCAAAAATTGACTTGGCATGAGCAGAAGATGAGACAGAAGACCATGGAGAATATTGTTTTTCCACACAAGGCAGCTGACGGCTCCATATAAGGTCAGAGCAATGCGTGTTTGTTTGTCCTGCGGAGCGGGTCCAGTCTGTTTACATTCACACTGTACTCGAACCGCGCTGGAGTTCGCTTCTACCGGACCGAGACCTAGGTTTTATCCCGGGCCAGAGTTCGCCTTTTTGTTCCCTGACAGTTCGATGGTGCGTTAACACCTCCCTAAACGAACCAGACTTTCTAGGAAAACGAGCTAGAGTTCGATTACAGCGGACTAAACAGGGCTAGTGTGAATGCATCCTTATATGCTGATGGCACAGTTGTTTACTGTTGAGCTAAGACAGTTACTAAGACTTTCCAGCTTTTGCAATCTGCTTTCGACATCATCCAGTCAGATTTGTTCCATCTCAAACTTGTCCTAAATGCCGACAAAACCAAAGGGATGCTTTTTTCAAACAGGAAGCCGGTCCCAGCAGTTCTTCCTCTGATTTTATCCTTTAATGGTGTCCCTATTTAGTTTGTTGATTCTTACAAATATTTGGGTATCTTGGTCGACTTGCATCTCTTTTAAGCTTCACGTGGAAAATTTGTTAAAGAAACTGAAGGTTAAACTGGGTTTCTTTTTCAGAAATAGATCCTGTCTAACTCTGAATGCTAGGAAACGCCTTGTAACTGCGACTTTCCTTTCCTCCAGTGATTACGGTGACATTTTTCACATGAGCGCTCCTACAAGAACCCTGCAGATGTTGGATGCTGTCTATCATGGTGCACTAAGATTCATAACTAGCTATAACTATCGTACCCATCACTGCACCCTGTATTCACTGGTTAACTGGTCATCATTAACTTCATGCAGACTCTCTCACTGGTACATTTTTATCTTTAAATCACTTCTTGGTCTGTTGCCTTCATACATCTCCTACATGTCACTGCGTGAGTGCAGCTACAGCGTGCGCTCTCATGACATTATGTGCAGTGTTCCCCCAGTGAGAACTGAACTAGGCAAAAGGGCCTTATCCTACTCCGCTCCTGTTTCCTGGAACATCTTGCAAAAAGATTTGAAGCTCTCGACCTTGACCTCTCTAAGTGGCTTTAAACATATGTTAAGTTCCTGGCAAGAACCAATGCAGACATGTTCCTGTTTTTAGTTTTCTACACCGCCTCGTAATTGAGCTGTTTTTTCGCTACGTTTCCTTGTATTTATCCTTTTTAATTATAATTTTGTTTTAAATTGTAAAAAAATAAATAAATAAAATTTTTATGTTTGAACAGCTTTGTTAAGGACACAGAACTTAGGGCTACGTGGTTAAATAAAGGTTTAAATAAATAAATTAAAATTGCATCATGCAATCTCCTCAGAATGACCCCAGACCCAACTCAACAGTGCTAACCACTAAGCCATTGTGATGCCAGTAACACATTAACACTGATAACTAAGATGTTTTTTATGACATTTGAGGCATACCAATTTAATTAATACTCAAAATTACAATATAGGAATGCATCTATGTGGGCAGATCCGAGTGTTTACAGTGTGGAGGTTTAGCACATACAGTAGTGGAGCTGGGCAATATGGACCAAAATTAATATCCATTTTAAGATGAATGGCAATATACGATATATATCAATATTTTTTTCTTTCCATAAAGTAATAACAAAAATATATTTGAGTCAAAGCTTTGTCCCAATTGTCACACAAGTACATTTATTAATAGCTGTTACTATACAACATAAATGTCTAAAAAATAAACTATTTACATATATTAGTTTTTTTTTTTTACATTTATTTTCTTACTTTAAATAATACTCTTCAGCTGCGCCGCCTTCACGAAGTTAATAAGCGTGTGTGAACTGCAGCTGCAGGTCCGACTGACTTCAGCCTCCTTCCCTGAGACAAACCACGGTACAAAATTAATTTAGCTATGCTGTGCCTTATGAGAAGAACAGTGAGAGGTAGAACGACATTAATAAAGTAGTGGCTTATCATATTGCTAAAGACACTGTTCCAGTCTCAACTGTGGAACAAGACAGCCAAAGAGTTAGCCGTCTTGTTCCACAGTTGAGACTGGGGCCGTGTCTTTAGCAATTTAAGCTACTGCTTTATTATTAATGTTGCACTACTTCTCTCATTGTTCCTCTCGTAAGGCACAGCACGGCTAAATTAATTTTGTATTGTGGTTTGTCTCAAGGAAGGAGGCTGAAGTCAATTGGACCTACAGCTTCACACACACTTCATACTCCACTTAAAGCGCTGTTTTAAATGGTGAAAAAGATCATAATGCCAACCTTTTGCCAGGACTTGTTTTCGGCATTGTCTACAGAAAACATTTTTCTATTGCTCATCTGACAATTTAAATCCAAACCATTTCCAAATAACAGCCATTGTTTTTCTTTTTGCTCAGCAGCTAAGCTGCTCTTCGATATCGTTTTCTTTGTTTACTTGTACTAAACTCCCGCCCACCTGGAGAAGCAGGAAGTAGGGGGAGTGCACGCGGGTGAGGGGCTGTGTTTGTATTCAGTGAGGGGAAATAGAGGAGTCGCGTGCAGTTGGCGCAGACGGGAGAAAAATAACTAAACTGATTTTCAAGTCTTGAATATAACTCAACGTAGAAATATTGATATAGACAATATAGTCCCATCTTATATTGTGTATGAAATTATCTCAATATTTTTAAAATATCGAGATTTCGCCCAGCTCTATATAGAAGAGATGTTTTAAATTATGAACAGTCATTCCAGCACGCACAGTTCTATTCGGATATTGTTTAACACAATGATTAATATAGATTTTTCTTTTTGTTTATCGGATAAAAGTGATCGGAGCAGATTCTTGACGTTAAAAGCTGATCCTTGCGGTTGATGTTTCCAAGCCAGACTTGGCGACATCCTTTTGAGTTCCTTCGCATTTCTTGATTTTTGGGATGAAGTGAGAACTGCTCTTTGCCAAACTGTCTGCCAGGTTGGACCATCCTTTAACCCAACATGAAACTACCATTGCGATGTACGTAAAAAAAATACTCTATGGTCAGACTTACGCCACTGTGACAAGCTAATTCATGCATACTAAAACGGTGGTTTGCGACAAAACTGTATGCAGTATGTGTTACTTTATATGAAAACTATGTATTGAGCTCACGTTAATAGAAGTAGAAAGCAGGAAGTGCAAATCTGCCCCCAGTACCAGGAGTATTGAGACTAAAGAGGTTAAATGATTGCCATGTCCATCTGTCCATCCATTGTTTTCCAGGTTTGGAGCATCCTGGATTGGATTCACAGTATGAGCCATCTCCCTGGTCCTCTGGCTCCCCATGCAGCAGTGACGGCAACAGCAACTGGGGCAAAGTCCTAGTTGATGGAAGTACAGACAAATCCAATAACACTTGTTCAACCAGCTCCTCTGTCTGGCCTCCTTCCTCCTCTTCATTTTCTTGCTCCTCCTCTTCTTCTTCTGGCTGCGGTTCAGGATCAGATCCTGAGCTGTCAATAGAATGCATGGATGCAGATTCTAACTCTTCAGTCGGCTCAGAGAAGAACCTAAGCATTGTTGCTGCAACTACCGTAATGATGATGTCAGCAAATGCTGCTTCCTCAGTATCCTCTACAGCTTCTTCGCACTCCTCTTTGGTAACTTCTACCATGATGGTCGGTGCAACTGTGAATGGAGATGGCAACAATCAGGTTGGAGGTGTGGGAACCATCAGCAGTGCAAATAATGGAAATATTATTACTGGATCCACACACTACTCCATGGCTGGACCCAACAGTATTAGCAGCAATAACATGAGTAACCACAACAAGTTAGTCGGCAGCAGTTCTGTATGGGGCACCCAGTCAGGCAGCAACATGAATACTGGCGGCAGTAACTCTTATATCAATGGGTCAAACCCAAGCATTTTAAACCCAAATGCCAACCACGGTGCCTGGCCACAGAATTTAACCCCAAGCCCATTGTGCCAGGGGCAACGGCCTCCACAGGCTCCGGGGATTAGTTCCAAACTGAATATGGTTCCTCAACAGGGGTCCTTGTTGGGCTGGGGTGGCATGGCAGCTCCAGATAACGACCGTGTGATGGAAGACATTGAGGTAAATAATGGTACATCAAGCAGCAAGGTGATAGGAGGCAGCAACAATGGCAATGGTGGTCTGCACCCTACCAACCTTAACACTGAATCAATTGGACCAAATAACACTATAATGATGAATACTACTACTACTACTAGCACCACAATGACCTCTAGTGCACCAGACTCTACCACCTCACCCCACCTCAGTGGGGATTGTTCCTGGGGTCCCATTGGAGGAGGAAATGGGGGGCTGCTGGCCAATGGAAACTCCTCATTAGCACCCCATCACCCTCAAGGAGAGTCAGGGGGTACTGGATCCTTTGGTACACCTTGGGGCACAGCTACCTACCCTGTAGACAAGGGCCCCTTAAATGTAGACACTGTGAACCCCCAAATCTCCTCTACTGCTGCTTTCAAGAGTAATAACCACAATAACACTGGGGTCTCACGGTGGGACCAAGGACCCACTAATACCCCAAACCAGCCTCAGAGTAATATATCCTGGAGTGTTGGCCCAAACCAAATTCCAGGCTCTACAGGCCAAATATCAGGAAATGGAAACCAAACTACTATGGGTCCTCCAGCAGGGATACCTCGACCCATGGGGAGCAGTGCATCCTCTTCTTCCTCATCATCTTCTTTCACATCTAACAGCAAAATTTCAAATGGAGAATGGGGATCAGCAACTCCTTGCAACAACAATTCAGATGCTGGAAGTCAAAAAGGAAGTTCTGCCAACAATGGGTGGAAGAGCCTTGAGGATGACGCCATGGGCATGGGAGGAGGCAGCGGCAGTGGAGGCCAAAACTTTGGAAGTGTCACTGGAGGCTGGGGTCGCTCTGGAGGAAGTGAAGGAAGCGCTGAGAGCTCTGGTGGTAGATCTAGCTCAGACAGAGACGCCAGCCAGTCTAAAGGAGGAAACCGTAGAAAAGGTAACCCTACCACAGCAGTACCATCGACGCTGACCCGGCTTGATGTGGATCCAAGGGTTTTGTCAAACACAGGATGGGGACAGACACCCGTACGGCAAAACATCGCCTGGGATGTGAATTCTCCTGCAAACAGCAAGGATCCCAGAGGCGAGGAAAGAAAGAGTAGCACAGGCTCTGGCTGGGGCTCAGCAGCACAGGCAGCTCCCTCCCAGACCTCTGGAGGTAAATAAAGTTTATAGAACTTAAACTTTGTGTTAAAATGATAAATAAAACCACATTATATATTGAATACCTAACAAGCAAATAAATGAGTCTTCTTTTATGTGCTTGCAGGTTGGGGGGTTGGGCCAAGCAGCTCAGGCTCAGATAGTGGAGGTTGGGGGGAACAGAGACAAACATCTGGGTGGGAAAGTAAAGGACCTCCTAATAAAGGAGGTGGGAATAGTGGCTGGGATGATGAATCCAGTTACAAGAACAGTAACACCTGGAACAACAATAACATCAAAGATGACAGGTAATTGCTTTTTTTTCTTCACAATTTTATAAAAAAAAAAAAAAATAAATAAATAAAAAATATATATATATATATATATATATATTATATATATATATATATATTTTTTTTTTTTTTACGTATTTATTTATTCATTTATTTTGCAGGTCCTCAACATGGACTAATGCACCTAAAATGCAGAAGGGCTGGGGTTCCAATAGTGGAAATGGAAGTGAAAACTGGGGTGTTGATGGTTCCAGAACAGGGGCCAGCAACCACTGGGGGGAACCTCAAAAAAGTGCAGGCTCAGTGGGATGGGACAGCGACAGCGACCGGTCTGGCTCTGGATGTTGGAGCGAGCCCGGTCGTACCAACACCAGCAGCAACAACACCTGGGTTGGCAGCGGGGGATCAAATACTCCAGACCAGAGCACTCCAAACTCCAGCTCTAACTGGGGAGACAATGTCAACAAACCCAGTCCTCAGAGTAACAATCAAGGCTGGGGTGAGCCAACGAAGAACAACCATGGAGCTCAGAACTGGGGTGAATCCAACTCTAAACCCTCTAACGAGTGGGGAAAAGGTCCTGAATCCAACATGTCCAGAGGCAATTCAAGCTCCAACAAGCCCACGGGTACTTACTTACCTGTGCAACAATTATTTTTGTTGGTTTCACCAAATATTTAACAAGCGCATTTAAACCTTTTTACTGTAAAGCCTAATTCTATGCTTTTGCTCATATTTTAGGCTGGCTGGGGGGGCCCATGCCCCTAGTAGGTCAGAAGGAGGAAGCTGCAACTGGATGGGAAGAACCTTCTCCAGAGTCCATTCGTCGGAGAATGGAAATTGATGATGGAACTGCAGCTTGGGGCGATCCTGGTAAACACGACTTCAGATGCTGTTCTTACCAGCAAGAGATTTGTATTTAGCAAAAATCTTTCTTTGGCCGATTTCTTAAAATTGTATTACTTAATGTGCAGGCAAATACGGTGGTGGATCTGTCAACATGTGGAATAAGACAAGTCAGTCGAATCAGGAGGCCATAGGCCCGTCATCTCAGAGTCAGCCTCACCCAGCACACAGCTCCACACAGCCTATGCAGCATCTGAACCAGGATAAAAGCTGCAGTTCAGGTTTGTTTTAATATGTGGACATGCATGCAAAGTTTGGCTGTCGATGTCTAACTTAAATGTTGCTGATATAATTACATAAACAAGCTGCAAAAATATACCAGGCCTTTTATTAAATAACAGCAACGTCGGCGCACAAATACGTAAAAACAAAACACTTTAATGACCATGGCCTAATATCTAAAGTTGTGTAAATGCAAAGCTTTTTCAAAACCGTTAAAATCACATGTTTAGGCATTCACCTTGTTCTATTGGTTCGCCCTCTTATTGCAAAAAAATATAAATTGGCACAACAGTGGCACATATGTCCATATCTTTGACTTGTACCAGAAGATGAAAGTAGAAAGTCTCTGTTAAAAGAGCATACAACTGAATAAAAAAATAAAAATAAAAAAAATCACAGAATCAATGAGTTGAAACCACCTTTTTACCTGGTTTCTGTAGACAGCTTTATTTAACAAGGTTTTAGTAAAAAAATAAATAAATGCAGACCTTTTGTGCAGTTTTTTATGGCATTTTATTACTGTAGTAATCTTTATCTCTGGTTTATTGCAAAGCACTTCGTGAATTTCTAAAGAAAGGTACTATGAAAAACAATTTTTTTGTATCTGATATAATCTGAAGTGCTGGTGAATTAATTACAACTAGCATATTTCTTGTTTTAATGTTCACATGCATGTCTCTGTGACAAGGCATACATACAGCACCACAATAATGAAAGATAAAGCTTTCTGCAAGTCCTAATTCTTGGATCCACCCTCTTTTTGGACAGATAAGACGTTCAAAGTATTTCCTATTTTTACAAGGATGTTTGTGTGTGCATGCAGGCACATGCATTCAAGCCCATACAGTGCCGTGCACAGCCTTCAGAGATTTAAATCCAAGCCTGTACAGCCAGCCAGTCCTCTGTCTCCTTGTTGCGCCTCAGGCTTTTTGTGAAGCCAGTTGAGTCATTCCTTTGGAATGCTAAGAGCATCAATGTTTCCTCTTCTCTCATTCACCCTTTTTTCCTCTTTCTTTGCTCACCCACAACTGCACAAGAAGCACACACTTTGGTTGAGTTTAGTACAATAGTACAAGAAAGACCAGTAGTATATTTATGTATTTATTTTTGGTTTAATGTTTGAAATGGTTAATGTAAGATTTAGAGAGGCCCCTAAGGAGGAGAAATGCAGGGATGAGGTTGTTGTTCAGGATTCATTGGGTAGTGAACTAAATGAAGCAGCTACATGAGCCCTGGGGAAAAAAAGGTTGGACAAACTCCTCAGCTACTGCTCTGGAAAAGTTATTGGCTTTATGAAGCAGTGGTTAGTGTGTTTGTATTTTTTTTGTAAGTTGAACAGTCAGTAAATATAGACCTTATGGAAAAAGAATGTCAGGTCTAAGTGTTGACTTTTAGCTGGGCATTTTTTAGTTTGTGAGGTGCACATGTGAGCTACTTAAATCTTGGATCAACTGAAGCAATTGCATAAAATAAACTGAAATCAAGAAATGCAGGATTGCAGATTTTGATCTTGGATGTGTGTAACGAGTGTGTTTTGGCTTTAGTGCCAGCAGAAAAGTAAAAATAAATGCCTCTAGGTGTAAATCTTTTATCTCATTCTGTTTATATTTGTGTGTTCTTCATCATGCTGTTATGTGCTTGTGGACCTGCATACAAGAGTAGGTCTGGAGCCTGAGGCTATCCCATGATCAGTCCTATTTTTACAGAGAAGTATCCCTGGCATCTCACCACCAGACTCCCCCTGTGGAGGGAGGAAGTGGCAGGTTTGGGTGGTCAGCTGTAACCTGAGCCTTTTGAACCCAAGCAGGCAATTTCAGGGATACACTTACACTTGGGCTTGGGGCTTGAAAGGTTAAATATTCAAGTAAACACTTACATAACCAAACCAACACAGTTGCTCAAGGCCATCAGTATAATCAAGTTAAAGAGAAGAAACAAGTTTTAAAAAGTTTACTAACTTCAGAGAGTTACTAGTGTTATTAAAGCAACAGTTTTTAATTCCCACTAAATGTCTGCAGTGTCAAAGTCACGTAAGTGCACATTTTAGAGCCTTTACCACAGGGTTCAAATGAGTACCTGTTTCCTGCAGGGTGGGGTGAGCCTTACCCCCAACAAAAGGAGTCTTCATCTTGGGGCGAGCCTACAGCTGGCCCACCTGTGACTGTGGACAATGGGACATCTGCCTGGGGGAAGCCCATAGACAGCACTGCTGGCTGGGACGAAACCAACAGGGAAAGCAGAGATTCTGGATGGGGCACCCAGAACAAACCTGGTAGGTGGACACAAGAATATGTTTTATGATAAATGGTTTTGATTTGAGTTTTTTATTTATTTATAGAATAGATGCATGATAAAGGTTACAGATATGTGCACGTTGAATGTATTCATTTCTACATCTCTACCTTCATCCTTAGCATCTTCAGGCCCTAAGCCCATGGAGACGTGGTGTGGTGACAATGTGTCCATGAGCAACAGCTGGGATCAGGAAGAGGAGGTAGAGATCGGAATGTGGAGCAACGGCCAGCAGGACAACAGGTCTCATGACCAAAACACCTGGAACTACAAGAATAAAGGCTCCAACAAGGTTTGTTCCTCATGATCTTTACATGGGAATGTAAGAAACTTTCATGTCAGTAGATCTTATCCTGGATTATTCTAGATTCAAAATGTTCAGTTTTATGTTTTTGCTTACACTTTACTGACTTTCAGATGAACAAACCAGTCAACAAACAGGATGAACCCTGGATGAAACCCTTCATCAGTCAGTTCAACAACATGAACTTCTCCGTGAGTACTCTTCAGAGTTCAGTGACTTTAAATTATTACTTTAGTATGCTTGTACTTTGTGAAACGATGAAAAACATTGAAAGAATGAAAGATGAACACCTTGAACCACAGCAGAACACCAGCTCCCAGTAACCATTGCCTACCTGAATGTGTCCTAATATATGACTTGTATGGAAATGAACGCTTGATTCTACTTGGTCAATGTTCACTCGTACAGAGTGATCTGCCAGCTGTCTTCCACATTGTTTTCTTGTTTGAACTTGCAGAGAGACTCTCCTGATGATCCCATGAAGACAGCAGCTGGGATGGTCACAGACAGACGTATGGACATAAGCAGTATGGGAGACTTTAATGGCGGGGTGGGGAAGAACCCAGGGTCCCGACACCAGTTCCACAAGGAATCTGCCATGGATCGCAGTCCTTACTTTGACAAGGTAGACAGACCTGTTCTGTTTCACTCCCTGTCTTTAGTGTAGTAAATGTCTAGTTGGGAGGTGTTTTATCATCTCAGTATTCCCCCTGGTGGTTGGTTTAACAAACTGCAGATGGTGCTTTATTTAAAGAATGTCTTTTTTTTTTTTTTCCTTCAGCCTCAAAACCAAACAGAATGCTTAAAACTTTAGACTCAAATGTTGTAGTATATATTTTACAAGGATTGCAATTAATACAAAATAGTGATAATTTACTTTAATAGTTTTTATTTATTTATTTATTTTTAAACAAACTACTTTGAGTTTGGCTTTGCTGCTTTTGCTCTAGCGCTGCTGCTTACGTTATTCTTTTGTTTCAAAGGTTTTAACTTTTTGGTCACTTCACAACTTCTCTTCTACAGTGCTCATGTCTTTATTTCATCACTTGACTCCATCTCGTTTGTGATTCTCTTTTTGCTTTTCTACAATCTTGTACCATGCAGGTTCTCTTATTTCCTGTTTTCATGTTTTTCTCACTCGCCCTCCCTCTCCTGGCCTTTTTATGCAAAATTAATTATTTTCTTTTCTTGTCTCTTTCCCTCTCTGTGCTTGTTTGGCTGCCAATGTGCTTCCTGTCCCTCTGTGCTTGCCGTCCATCTGCTGTGTACCTGGCTTTTGCTTCTGCAGCTTTCTGCCTATGATTGCCCAGCTTCTGACGAGCTCTCCTCCAATCAGAGCATGAGCCTTTCCCCTAGCAATTCTGCTCAGCCCTGTGTCAGATCTGGGCCAGCCCCAACCCTCTCTAGTTCTGGTGCTGCTCCACAGGTGAGTATGGATGGATGAAGAGCGGGTTTGTCTTTTGATCTTGAGCCATTTGTCACACTGCTACATGTGAAGAAATGCTTAATGGGTGGTATTGATATTTATTTTTAAATAAAATTGACATTTTCCTTACACTTTATTATTGCTTAGCACTTCCAAATAAATTACTCAAAACCTTTTTACACCGTTGAGAGTAATATTTTAACTTGTTAAAAATTGCATAAATATTTCCTTGGTGTGTGTTTGTTTTTTAGAATGTAAACCCTATGTTGGGTGGCAGTAGCGTAGCACAGGGCCGAGGCGGCCCACAATCTCAGCCCCCACCTCAACCCAATCTTCGTAACCAAGTGCCTCCACCCATCCTGCCCTCTCAGGTAGCAAAGAAAAAGAAAAGTTTTTTTTATTGTGTTCACTGATCTTCAGTTTTTTAATAGAAAATGTTTAGTTTACACTAATAATAATGTAAAAAATCTGTATTTTCAGAAAGTATTAATTCAACAATTTCCTGCATGATCAATAAAGTTCTATCTTATCTTATTTTGCTTTTTGAATTTGACCACATATTATTTGAATCACGACCCATGAATGTGCTTTTCATACCTTCTAATCAGCATTTGTTTTGTTTGAGAACAAACTTTCTGAAATTGTTAATGTTATTTTGTTAATTCCATCAATTCATAGTTGCTATTTGAAAGAATTGCCAGGCATTATGATAAAAACACTGTAAAGATCAAACATTGTTAAACAGGATATATTTGAAATCCTGAACTGCTCCAGTACTTAAATCTTGTTCCTATGCAGGTCCCCCCATCCTTGTTGAAGTACCCAGGAGGTAACGGTGGCCTGAACCCGCTGTTTGGCCCTCAGCAGGTGGCTGTGCTCAACCAACTCTCCCAGCTCAACCAGCTGTCGCAGCTCAACCAGATCAGCCAGTTACAGGTACAGAAACAAAACCTATACACACGTACGCAAATGTTTTTAAAATATGTAGACTGGTGTTAGGGTTTCTGTTTGTTGACCTTTATGCTGCATGCAACATTTTAAAGTTCCTTGTTTCTCTAAACTGTTCAAACATTACTGGTACATTTAACATTTTTTGTGATTGCCTCTTCTGTCTGCAGCGTCTTCTCCTTCAGCATCAGCAACAACAAAAGGCTCAAAACCAGAGAACCATGCCTGTGGGTCGTCAAAACGATCAGGTGTGGGTCCATTAATTCTGCTAAATTATACTTTGAGTAAATTTTTTTTTAAAAAGTAAAAAATTTGTCTTTTGTTTCCTCTAAAACATTTTTAACCTTCCATTTCCTGTTTCCAGACACGTCCCATTGGTTCATCCCCATCAATGATGCAGCTGCCGCGACACCTGGACCCCTCCCTGCTGAAGCAGGCCCTGCCACTCAAAGCATACCAAGAAAACTACTTGTCCCAGAATCCCTCTGAGATGCAGAAGGATGCTGCCACCATCGGATCCTTCAACAACTTCCCTTTAAGTATGTTAATTACGAGAAGTCAGTCTTATTTCACGAGAAAGCCATATGTTCAGGTGGGACTGAAGCTTCTCTTCCTCTACTTTCAGACTTGAACTCTAACCTGAATGTATCCCTGGACATGGGTGTTGGTGGTGGAAGTAGTAGTGGTGGAGCTGTGAATTACAAAGAGCCACCCCAGTCCAGACTGAAGAAACTTTGGGCTGCTGACCCTCTGGAGCAGAACAGCAAATCTGGTACATTGGACAGTAGTTTTATGTTTTTATAGTAGGACTTTTGCCGTAGGAAATTAAACAAACATTGTTCTTTCTTTTTTAAGCCTTCTGTATGAAGGCTTTAAATTTGTCTCAAACTTTCTGTTGGATTCACAGTGTTTTAAATATATGCAAAGTTTTAGTTTACTGCAAATCAAAATAGGTTTAGAAATATTATTTGAGGCTGTTAAATTAAGTGTTTTCTTGTAATAGGCTCTTGTTTGTGTTTGCTCCACAGGTGCTATGTCGTCTGGGCTGCGTCTGGAGGACTCTCCCTTCTATGATTTCCTGTCTCCTGGCCCCTCTCCCCTGAGTCCTCCCGGCCAATCAATGGGCTCTGTGGGCGATGGCTGGCCGCCCCGTGCCAACTCCCCCCCACCCCATGGAAACACTGTCACTTGGCCCCCAGGTACATGCGCCTTCACATTCACCAACAGTTTAAAATGGATTGCTTTGAAAACTGCTAATCGCGTCGAGGTTCTTGTTTGCAGAGTTCCGGCCCGGGGAGCCTTGGAAAGGTTACCCCAACATTGACCCTGAGACTGACCCTTACGTGACACCTGGAAGTGTCATCAACAACCTTTCCATCAACACCGTCCGCGACACAGACCACCTCAGGGACAGGAACAACGGTAACCAACGCGTTGCAGAATAAAATATTAGACGCAACAGGTGTTAGTCTAACAGTCTGAACACACAATCCTGCCGAGTAACACTCCTGATGTTTCTCAGGGCCATCCTCATCACTGAACACCACGATGCCTTCTAACAGTGCCTGGTCATCCATTCGTGCCTCCAGCCACAGCGGTTCCCTCACCAGTACAGCACAAAGCACTTCAGGTATGTTTGAAATTCAGGTCAAAGCCACATGGAGCTTTCCATGGATGCAAGAACGGCTTAACCAGGGCAGAACTACACTGCTAACAGGACCTTGCTGCTAACAGCATCATGCTAACCGGACCACAATGCTAGCTGGACCATGCTGCTAACAGCACCATGCTAACAGAACCACATTGCTAGCAGGACCATGCTGCTAACAGGACGATGCTGCTAACAGCATCATGCTAGCATAACCACACTGCTAGCAGGACCATGCTGTTAACAAAACCACACTGCTAACAGAACTACACTGCTAACAGGACCAAACTGCTCACAGGATCATATTGTTAACAGGACCGCACTGCTAACAGAACCACACTATTAGCAGAACCATGCTGCTAACAGGATTGATCTGCTAACAGTTTCGCATTGCTAAAAAAAACACACTGCTAACAGAACCGCACTATTAGTAGAACCACGCTGCTAACAGGACCACTCTGCTAACAGGACCACTCTGTTAACAGGACCACACTGCTAACATCACCACACTGCTAACAGGACCACTCTCCTAACAGCATCACACTAACAGGACCGCAGTGCTCACGGGACCATACTGCTCACAGGAACATGCTGCTAACAGGACCGCACTGCTAACAGACCATACTACTAACAGGACCGCACTGCTAACAGGACCGCACCGCTAACAGGACCGCACTGCTAAAAAAACCACGCTGCCAACGGAACCGCGCTGCTAACGGAACCGCGCTGCTAACAGGACCATACTATTAACAGGACCATACTACTAACAGGACCGCATTGCTAAAAGAACCACACTGCTACAAGAACCACGCTATTAAAAGAACCACGCTGCTAACGGAACCACGCTGCTAACGGAACCATGATGCTAACAGGACGACGCTGCTAACAGGACCACACTGCTAACAGGACCACACTGCTAACAGGACCATACTGCTAACAGGTCCATACTGCTAACAGGACCATACTGCTTATGGAACCACGCTAACAGTAACCGTGTTTTTATAACACAGTTTTTATTTTAATTGCTTTTTATTGTTGTCTGTACTCTATATGTTGTCTCTATAAAACAGATCTCTTGAAAATGAGTCCTCATGACTCAATGAGACTACCTGTATAAATAAAGGTTAAATAACATAAATATTGCCATCAGTTAGAAATAAAATTAATTCAGTTTATTCCTGTACACACACTATTTTTCACTGATTACTTTGGGTTTTTTATTTATTTATTGTAAAAAAACGTTTATTTTCTCACTCCTTGCAGCTCGACCCAGTGAATCAAAGTGGTCTCCTGGTGGTGGTTCTGTGTCCAACTCCTCTCTAGCCCACGAGCTTTGGAAGGTTCCTCTGTCTCCCAAGCCGCTGCCAGTACCGGCCCCCTCCAGACCCCCACCCGGCCTCACCAGCCAGAAGCCCAACCCTGCCCCCTCTGGCTGGGATGGCTCTGCCCTGAGGCTGGGGGGCTGGGCCTCCTCTGAGTCCAGATACACACCTGGTGAGGAAAAAATAAGAGACTCATAAACTTTCCACTCAAGCTTTTTAAAAATACAGCTCTAACTTCAATAAACAAGCTTTTGTTGCAAGAAATACTAAAATAACCAGGTAATTTGGTAGCATATATAAATGTTTCAAAATTACATTAAGAAGAAATATGACGGCTGAAAGACTATGATCCAAATTTACAAAAAGTTGTCTGCTTTAAAACTGGTTTTATCATGCTTGAATGTTAAATCAAAGGCCGTACTGCTCCTGTTTTTACAGGTTGACATATTTACGTTTTTTTAATGCTGACTTTAATCACAGTTTTATGATCGTCTACTCTCTGTGATTGCAGGTTCCAGTTGGGGTGAAAGCAGCAGCTCAGGAAGAAGTCAATGGCTTGTTCTGAAAAATCTCACACCTCAGGTACTGACATAATAAATATGACCTTATTTTTTTCTGGTTTTGTTTATTTGAAGTAGATAAAAAAAGAAAACACTGAAGGTGTCTGATAATGGCCAGCTTCATCATTTGGGTCAACTCTGTTCATGGTGGTTTCCCAGATCGATGGCTCAACGCTGAGGACCTTGTGTATGCAGCACGGCCCTCTGATCACATTCCACCTCAACCTGCCACATGGCAACGCCGTGGTTTGCTACAGCTCGAAGGATGAGGCTGCCAAGGCCCAGAAGAGCCTGCACATGTAAGAACCTCTGACACACAGCCAATCAAAAGACCAGCAGGACTAACATCCTCATGACATGCTGGTTATGAAGAAAAAAAAAGTGTTCAGTACAAGGTTGTCATTCTGATGCAAATTTTATGTCATTTTCATTAACTTTCATCAATTTGGGAGGAAAAAAAGGCTTAAATTTGATCTGGTTGACGAGATAACTATGGATGTGCTGCCATTTTAAAACAACTCCAGTTTCAACAACTTGGCCGTTCATACAAACACCGTTTACGCCAGTATTCTGGCAGAGAGGAAATGAAAAATGTTGAGATTGGAGTTGTTAAAGATCTGGTCCTCAGTCAGATCAAAAGTAAACACTATTTTCTAAATTCTGTTAAAGTAAACCCCCACTTTGGTTATAATTACAGGTGTGTTTTGGGGAACACTACTATTCTGGCTGAGTTTGCCAGCGAGGAGGAAATCAACCGTTTCTTTGCACAAGGGCAGTCAATGGCCACTCCCTCCTCTGGCTGGCAGACCATAGGCTCCTCTCCGAGCAGAATGGATCAGTCTCACCCCTTTCCCAGCCGCGCCTCTGAACTGAACCAGTGGAACAGCAGCGACCTACAGAGGTCCTCTCTCTGGGGCGGGCCCAACTATTCCAGTAGCCTGTGGGGGACCCCCGGTGGCACCGAGTCGGGAAGGATCAGCAGCCCCTCTCCAATCAGCTCCTTCCTCCCGGTGGATCACCTGACGGGGGGCGGCGACTCCATGTGAGCCTCGCGGTCAAACCGACTGGGGGAAGGGTCAGTGTTGAATTGTTAATCATCAGAAGAAAATGGATTTAAAAAAAAAAAAAAGTAGTTCTAAATGCAACGGCACTAGTTGGACTCTTTCTCACTTACAAGATATTCAACAAAACGGGGTCTCCCCCCGTGGAATACAAGTTACGTTTCTCTTTCTGCACATATGTCCACTTTGTTTTAGCCCAAAAACATATCAGTCGGAATACTTGAATCATGCAGGCCAATTCTATAATGTGAACAGATGGATTTTTGCTTCCAGGTAGTGCTCTTTCAGACCGAAAAAAGCTTCAGTAAAGTTCAATATTATTATTATTATATATTTTTTGTTTCAAATTGTCGTGTTTATTTGAATTCCAATTCTTTTTTTCTTTCTTTTTTTTATGTTTTCATTTAATTATTTTTTTTGCATTTGTTTGCTGACAATGTTGGAGTATGAGCTTTTTTTAACTTTGCACTGAATGTGGTTTTTTCTCAGTATATATAATCTGCAATATAGAGGGAGCAGCCAGTTTTTCCAGTGTAGCTGTTTACTCATTGAGGTCCTTATTGTATGTGTGAATGCGTGCGTGGAAGTACTTTGCGTGTATGTATTTGCGTTGTGAATGGACGTGTGTATGTGCTCCTCTCTGCCTTGGCACGCCTACCTTACTGCGTTGTTGTGGAGTTCAAGATCAACAGATAAAGAATTAAAAACCTGATTTAAAATTAATATCGGGTGAAAGAAAAAAATCGACATTAAAAAGTATTGCACCAATTTTGTTTTAAAACTAAAGAAAGTTGAGCTCTGCAGTGCAAAGGACTGTAGCCGCAGCTGGGACTAGCAAGCCCCGCCCACTCTAATATAAGAGGCGGGGCCTATCTAGCAAGCCCTCCTGGTGAGCCCCCTAGTGGGCAGGGAGGGAACAGCACTTTCAGAATAGGCTTTCAATGTTTTGGAGGTGCCACACTGCAACCTCTTGTTTACAAGACTTAGGAGGCAGAACGTGTGTTCATTCTTCATTTTAAAAAAAGAAGACAGAAAAATATTTTAAAAAATTCACAAAAAAAGATTAAAAACATAAAATGCATATAAAAAATTTAAAACTTAAAAAAAAAAAAAAAATTATTATTGAGGATGAAGACGATGCGTTGTAACTCTGGGAATTCGGATCAGTGTTTTTGGCCATGGCGTTGGTTATTTAAACTATTCCTCTTGTCTGCTAAATAACCAGCAGTGGTTCTCAGGAAATTAAGCCAGTTTCCCCCCCGTAGTTGAACTTAAAAAAACTACTTCCTGTAGGAAAGGAAAATCCAACATCTAGCACTGAAAACTATGTATAGGTCTTTTTTTTTCCTCTGCCAAATAACTGCTTTAAGCTGGAGAAGCTCACACTGCTTTTAATATGCTGTCTTTTGAGGGAGGGGGAGCGTCCTAGTGTAGGGACAAGATAACGGAGGGGCTCCCTCTCTCCCCCTTCACTCCTCCACTCCACTGTTGTAAAAAAAAAAAAATGTGGGGAGTGTTTATTGTAAGTGTGTCCGTGTGAAATATTGTCAGATTTCTAAACCAAGAGAAAAGGCAAATCTGTATCTATGCATACTGTGTACCCTCTCACATTCACAAGGCCTACTGAGAGGCGCCCTCCCCCGCCATGTGTCTCAAATGTTTTAAACGTTTCATTAAGGACAACAAATGCGAACTATAACCTCTTTTTGTTTTGTTGTTGCTTTTTAATCATTACCACAAATGGTGTTTTTGGAGGGAAAAAAAAGAAAAAACCTTTAAAATCCTGTTTAGGTTGAAGATATTTTAACAGTGCAAAAGTCGTCCACATTTCATTGCCTTGATCCTATTTGTGTCCGAAGATGCAACAAGTCAAGTGGCTTCTACCTGTTTACAAATAGAAAATGATTGTATTGTTGTACTGTTTATTATTTTTCCCCTCTTCCTTTGATTCGGGGGGAGGGTGGGGTATTCGTCTGAAGTTTCTGACGTCATGAATTTGCGTGTGAGAGAACAGCGTGAATGTAAATCCACCAGTGGTGTTTGTTGACTTAAAAACAACAACAACTTAGCGTGAATAATAAATAAACCTATACACCAGTGATTAAGTTACGATGCACAATTTTATCACGACGAAAACAAAAAGCTTCAGAGCGAGCGCACGAGAGATCAGCATTAGCGAAGCCATGGACCTTAATTCCTTGTTTTGTGTTAAGCCTGTTGTGTTTGCGTGCACACCCCCCCCCCCCCCCCGCACCAGTATAGGTTTTAATTTCAGAAGTTCTATAAGCGTTGGCTTTAGTTGTGTTTTTAAGTTTAGCCTTGAATATATAACTACTTTTAAAAGCGTATGTAGTGAAGCCGAACCTCGAGTATTAGCCAGACTTGACAGTGGCGTGTGCCAGTATTGAACGCTCTCTACCAAATACTTCAATCATACAAAAAGATTAGTTTACCTAATTCCACATCTGTTTCCTTAATTCTATATATAAGTACATATATATATATATATCTTATTTGTTGTCATGTTATCAAGTGGAACATCTGAACTGTGTTGTGTGTTTTTGACTTAATTTGACTAATTGATCTGAGGAGCCTTGGATTAATGCACTTGAACTGAGTTGGTCGGTTTGTGTTTTTAAAGCCTGAGGCGTTGGGTTGCATGCGTCGAGTGTGTACGTGTGTGTTTACGTTTGTGCGGTGCTTCGTTGGTCCCAGTGAAGGAACGAGAGCGTCTCCCCCGCTCCGCCCAGGTTTCCATCGCTTACTGGGCGGGGATGTCCGCTCAGAACTCGCCTGAGCCAGAATGTAGCTGGAACTGTAAACTTATTTTTTTAATAGTCGACCTGACTTCTCTGACTCCCTCGGTAGTCTTGCCCATGTCTCGACGACACCTGCCGCTCGTGGGGTTGTCATGGTGACCATCAGTTGGAGACGCGTCTTGAGATTGACTGAATCGTCGTTACTCGGGCGGGGGACGGGACTCGGCTACGGACTGGTTCTTCCGGACTTTTCCGGGGACGCGGGGTCTCACTTGCCTCGTTCTTTCCACTCAGCTCTCCTCGTGCATCCATTGAGCTCAACTTACAGGAGAGGAGATGCAAAATGTGCAAGCGACATATTCCCTTTCTGCTCACAGATAACTTTACACTTTTCTTCCTCCCAGTGTCTGGTAGTGCTTATTTTCATGCACTGGCACAAGCAGTTCTGTTTCTCCCCCCGAGTTGTCCTTTTCCTCAGCTTTTAGCAGGACATCAACCACTCTGGTCAGCACTGCTGTGCTGTTAGAGAAGGGACGAGCTACGTCTGTAAAACAAAAAAAAACGCCTCAATAACGTTGTTACCGTATTTGTTTCGCGGAGTCATTTCGCCATCTTTCTGTCTCGTCCAGTCTACTGTCGAAGTGTGTGTGTGTGTGTGTGTGTGAAGACAGAAACCGTGTATGAATTTATGCCAAATCCAGGAGGGAGGGTTGATACGGAAGGAAAGGGATAGATTTTTTTTGTTTGTTTGTTTTTTATTTTAGCTGTGTGCATATGTATTTAAAAAGCTGGATGATATAAAATGCTTGAAGAATTTTTTTTTTTTTTTGCAAAAGGATGTTGAGAAAAAACCACCACGAGCAATGTACAATCCCCAGAGCTGCCAAGCAGCTGCACCACAGGGCCAGATGAGGGGAGGAGAGAGAGATGGAAGGAAATTTGCTGATGATACTCTACTACTTTTTAATATTTAAGAAAAAATAATAATAATGTGACTTGTTGTGTTTCTATTAACTATCCTGTGAGTAAATGCTATTTCATAACACATCCAACGGCTCCTACAGTCGATCAAAAGTGCTAAGGCTATTATTATTTTTAGACGGGAATTAAAAAAAACTGTGAGAATCTGCTGTCTTTGTTGTTTTACATTTAGTATGACCACACGTACAAACCCTGAAAAGCTTTAGTCTAACCAGCACAAAGATGTGGGTGGGGTGGGGAGGGTGGGGTATCTCTGTGGGTGGGTGTTGCTCAGAGAGACTATGCAGTGGAGCGTTGAACCCAGGCTTCCATGTCCACCTTGGGTTTTGTTTGTTTCTTCAGTTATTTTAAAAATATCCCAAAAACTTTAAAAACACAGCTGAGATTCCCAGTAATGTTTCTCAAACATGTGCCATCTTTGAATTGTACTTCTACTATGAATAATAATAAAAACTTTTTAAAAAAAAATAGACCTGATAAACCTTTAGTACCTGAGCAGGGCCAGTCGGGCCAGTTGTAGCAGGAGCGGACAGGTTCAGATTAGCAAAAGTCCATTTATTTTCACAGCTTGTCTCCTTGTCACGCCGAGGGGAGCGAGGCCGGTTCGAAACTGCTAATTTTACACGACTCCGATGTTTTTTATAGAGATTCTATCAATCCGCAGCGTGTAGTTGGATCACCTGTAAACCTATTATGCACATTGCTTTGGGGGAGACTGTTGAAACTATATAAAATATTTATGAGAATACAAACATTCGGTGTCTATAATCATCGAGGGGGAGTCTTCCTCTCTTGACGAAACAGGAAGTACCCTTTTATTTTTCAAACGTCTTCCTCGACTCATCAAAGGATTTTCCCTTAAACTTCGGTGGAACCTGCACTTTTTGAAGGACAATCTTTATTTGTATGGGTATATTAAAAAAAATATTTAAAAAAACGAAGTCGCCTGATATTACATGGTCTAAAAACCAACTCCAATGTGCTCTAATAATGAATGTCTCCTCTGATGCTGTTTGTTTGGTTTCATTTAATCTTTTTATTCTCCTTTTGTCGCTTGTTTTTTTTTTTCTTTCTTTGCTCTTATGAGAATCTGTACTAAGGTGTAGAGTAGTGGTAGGTCTTCTGTTGGCTGTACTTGTATACTGATTACTGTTTGTAACCTTCTGGCTCCTGCAGCCAGCATACAAAGCTGTATAACTTGGGTACAACCCTCAATAAAAGACTAATGACACAACGTCCACCTCCACAGAGCGTCTTTTCTTTACAGAGAAACTGGTAAACATCTGGAACAAACAAAGCACTTCAAAAAAATCTATGGTTTTGATGCCACTTTAAATTACAGATAATTTTGCTGTTTTTGTAGTTTGTGCAAGTGTGAGTAGTTTAAAATATGTTAGATTCTACGGCAAGCTTATAAAGAGCTAATGTATTTCCTGTTTGAAGGAATAGATTAACAACTGACCGGTTCTACAAGCTGATCCGTCCGAGTCGGGTCAGGACTAAAGCAGACCGTCTGCAATTCATGCAGATGCTACGAGTAAAACCAGATGTTTACATATGTTGTAGACAAGTTTTATTTTAGATGTTGGGTCCAATCGGTTATTTTTTTCTGTTGATAAATGCTCAAATAATTATTACTTTTGTCACAGTCACATCTTTTAACGTACCATTTGGCATTCGTTTAGCACAGGGGTCTGCAACCTGCGGCTCTGGAGCCACGTGTGGCTCTTTGGTCCCTCCACAGCGGCTCGTTCAAGCTTTGACCAAAACTAACATAAAACTGAATTTATAGGACGTTATACCCACAATAAAAAATGACTAGCTTTACCAGTTATCCTGTCCTTTTTGGGTATCCTGATGCATGCTCAATAATCCAGGTAGAAAAATCCAAAAAAGTTCAATCTGGTCCTATGGACATTCAAAAAAAAACCCAAAAAACAATGTACTAGTGTAATGTAATAGTGTAAACAATGCTTTTTTTTTTTTTTTTTTTTTTTTTGCTTTGTTTTGTGTTTTGTTTTTTTTTAATGTCCAGAGGACCAGATTGAACTTTTTTGGAAATATTTGGGTACTAGTACTAATGCAGAGTAAATTATACTACCTTAAACTTTATGCTTTCATTCTTCAAAGTATACTCAATTTCTTCACAATTAAAAAAAATCACATCCGCCTGCGAAGTTCAATGTTTTTTTTTTACAAGAATGGAATTTTTTGTGAGACTTTTGACCTGAACATGAGCACCAGTGACCCCCTGCAACCCGAAAAGGAAGAAGTGAGTAAAGATGATGGATGGATAGAATCCAGTCTTTTGTCTCAAAATGTAAAAATATGAATAAATGTTAACATGTTTTTAATTTTATAATTTCACGCCTACTGGCCAGAAAATCCCCTCTTAACAAATTTAAAAGTGGCCCATGGACCACCAGTTGATCACGGCAATTGTAGGTTTTGTGGCTCTGGACACGTTTAGTGAACGAAGAAGCAGAAATGACTCTTGATCGTAAAGATTGCAGATTCCCTGGTTTAGCGTATAGCTTAGATCCTTCTTGTCTGTTTCTTTTTAAACTATATTTTTGCTATTGTTGGGTGTAACTGGGACCTTGAGTACACAATTTAGTTCCACCTCATGTATCACGTGATGCAAATGCCAATAAAGATCCTTGACAAGTTTACACCAAATTACTGTCCCTTTAAACTTTGTAAAGCCCAGACTGATGTCGACCTTGGAAGCACACCTCGGACTCCTGTGGTTGAAGGAACTCAAACTTTTAACTGTTTGACCGTAGTGATCGTTACATTTGGAGGGAAAAGGGAGAAGCTTGCAGGCCTGACACCAACCCAGCTGTGAAGCATGGAGGTGGCAGCATCATGTGGGGGTGTTTTGCTGCAGGGTGGACTGCTGCATTTCACAAACTCAATGGCATCATGATAGAACAGTAGAAATATTGAAGCAACATCTCAAGACATCTGCCAAGAAGTTAAAAGATTGGACATTAAAAATGCACAGACCCTGAACTTACTGCCACATCAGTCACGTGGTTTAAGGACAACCAAGTCAAATTAGTAGGCGGAGCTAAAAAAAGGTGTGAGGCTCAAACTGGACTTTTCTGTCAGGAGGAATGGAATAAAATTAGTCAACTATTGAGAAGCTTTAACAAAACACTTGGTCCAAGTCATACAATTAAATAAAATAATTTGTGAATTTATGACTGAAGTCTATTCAAACATTTAGTTAATAGAAGCAATCTTAGAAATCCTGACGTAAAGATGTTTTAATAATATAAAGGTGGTTTTAAGGCTAAATGTTTAGTGAACGGACACATCTAATGAAGGTGGAAGCTGTAAAAGCAGAAGTGGGACCAAGTCCTCAGTTCCTGTTGGTGGGATGGGCAGCACGATGGATTAGTGGTTACTTCACAGTAACCCCCCGTTTGGACCTAGGATCTTTGTGGTGTTTGCATCCTTTCTCCAGGTACTCTGGTTTCCTTCCAGTCGAAAACATGCATGTTAGGCTGCCTTCAGGTCCGGCCCAGACCTCCTGGCAAAAGGAATCTAATCTCACCTTGCATGAGATCTGTGAACTCCGTGGGATTTGCCTCGTTAAATAAAAGGTTAAAAAAGTGTGGCCAAAAACTTTTGTCCACGTAGTGAAGCTGCTGCTTGTTGCATTTATGACAATATTTACTTTGCTCATGTCCTCACTCGTAACTTCCTGTGAGCCCCGGTCCAGTCAATTGGTCAAAGAGCTATCTTCAACAGGTAAGATATTAATTTTCCAGCTTTATACTTAAAAACAACTGAATCATTACTTTAAACTCCCTTTCAGAGTGGGTGTGGTGAACAACACTGTCAGTGTCTTCCTGAATCACACATTTAAAATCTTAATTAATGGGTCGAATGAGAATGTTTTAGAAAATTATGCAGCTTTTCTGTGTAAAACACGTTTTACCCACATTTAAACATTTGGCTTCCTAACAGTAGCTTGAAGCCTTGCATCATCTCAGACCTGCCAGCTACATAGTACAGTATTGGTACTTGCGGTACTAATCTTTAGTTGAACGTAGCTTCTACCTATAAACATAAACTGAGACCCATATTGGTTATCAAGACTCAGCTCCACAAACTGGTCATAAAAATTAAAAAAAAAGCTGAACATCACTAGCAGAACCATACAACCCGTTTTTATTGATCGATTTCAGAAATTATACATCAACACTGCAGGTTGGGGCTGAAAGAAACAAAAAAAAAAAAACAATAAATCAGATCTGTGATGTATTTTTTGTTTTAATCGAGCTTTTAAATCTCTAAACTCCCAAGAACACGTTAGTTTAAATACAGTGACGCACGAGACGCGGCGGGTGACCCGGACATCGCCACAATGAACTGAAGAGTTGACGGGGCTCAAGTGGAAACTGGTTTGGTACCTCGGGGGGAACGGGCACCCTCTGAAACCAAAAAGAAGAAGAAGAAAAGACTGAATTTTAAGGAGCACTTGATTTCAGAGTAAAGGAGAGACATCCACCTGCCTCTGAGCTTCAGGACACGTCATTCATAAACGTCCTTCTTGTCTGCGATGTACTGTACGATCTCCTCTGGAGTCATCAGCTTCTCTGCATCCACGTCTGGAATCTCAAAACCTGCAGCAGAAACACAAAAATCCTTAAAACACGATAAGAAGCTGAACTGAACTAAAACGTGTGCGTACAAGACGTTCATGAAAAACAAACTACTGGTACCTTCATACAAGTTGAGCCTAAATGAGTCCATGTCAAGATAAATGACATTTCTAGACTTGTTCACGCTGCTGTTGATCACAACATTAAAACTTGGATTGTGCAGTTCTAAGTAGAAGTACATAAACAACCTGTGGGTATCGTTTCGTGTCACATCTCTTCCTAAATGACTGACGTGGTGCTCCACACTGTGCACCCCTGAACTGTTCCCAGAGCGCACCCTGGCTCTTACCAAACTCATCTTCCATGGCCATTATGATCTCCACCTGGTCCAAACTGTCCAAACCCAAGTCTTTCATGAAGTGGGAAGACGTCTGCAGCTGGGGGACGCAAACGGAGCAGAGATTAAAACGCACTTCGAGACAGAAACAGATACTTTGCGTCCTGAATCGATAACAATTCAACAGCTTTTTTAAATCACCAAGTTTTTTTTTTTTTTACCTTTTCTGGGTTGACCTTGTCGTAGAGCTTCAGTACATACATGACGCGGTCTTTGATGCTTTCTAAAGTGAGGAGGGGCATGTCCCCATACTGCCGGCACAACACGCCCACCGAGGGGATCTAAACAGCACAAGGAAGAAGAGGAGACGAAGACAAAAATGTTTACGATCATTCAGCCTACTAACTTTTTTTTTGCTTGTTTGTTTTTGGGGGAGCAAAATGTTTCATGTAGCTGAAGAATGTAGAGTTACAAGAACTGTGAAACAAGAGGAGACGTGTGGGACTTCAGAGGTTCATAAACACAGCACGGGTTCACTGAATCGACAGCTTGTATCTGGTGTGGAATCATTTGCTTTAGGCTCCACGAACACAAACACTGCAACAAGACTGCTTTAAGTTTAACACAGCAAACTGACAAATGTTCAACTTTTCATTCATTCAAAGATTTGAGATTACTGCTTAAGATGTTGAGAGCATCGTCCATTAACTAAAGCAGGGAGGCACCCATTGCTCCGCTGATGATTGGAATTGACAGATGTTCACCAACGCTGAAAAACACAGGAGCGTCTCAGAAATGAGAATATTGAGAAAAAGTTACGTTTTCTTTGTCAGTCGCTTCAGAAAGTGAAACTCGTATATAGATTTATTACACATAGTGACATATTTCATGACTATTTCTTGTAATTTTGAGGTTATGGATTACAAATAAGAAATAAACAAAGTTCAGTGTCCTGTAAGACTCGTTTCCTTTTGGTACTTGAACATACCACTGCCACACTCTCAAAAATCCCAGGTTTGCTCCTGTCCTCAAACACACCACATAAATAGTGATGAACCCGTTGCAGGTGCAGAAAATTTAACTTAGTGAGAAATATGACAGTGCTTTTAAATTAGATATTTAAGAGACAAACAAACAAAAAAAATCGGTCACCTGGTGATGCTTGGAGGAAAGTAATAAAAATAAATTGTAAACATTTTAACAAACATACTTGGATGATTAGCTCAATCGCGTCTGCTGTTTGTTCCAGTTCTTAAAAATAAATTAGAATAGTTTATCACGATTATTACTTCACCAAACGTTTGTCTCATCTCGAAGAGTTTCAGGAGCGTCTCATGTTTACGTTAGTCACAACATGAAGAACCACGTGTCTTTATTAAAGTATCTCCAGTCTGTTACATGGACGCTTTAGCTGCCACTCAGTTTTACATTGTCTGCGATGCATTTACATTTTCCAACACATGTGGTCGCACAAAGTCAAAGTCAAAGTGCTCCTTCAGGCAGAGGAGCCAAGTACAACACTGAACTTTGCTAACCAGCTAGCTTTCTATGCTAACTCACGAGCCGAGTTAACGGGACAATAATTGGTGGCGTCATAAAAATAAGCCCTGACAACGCATTGTAAATTTAAAGACTGACTCCTACGACATGAATCATTCCCTTCAGTTGAATTAAACGCCCCGCACGGCTCTGTGGAGGTCTGTGAACCCGCGGCAGGCTCAAAGACATCGGGTAGGTCACAGATGCAAGCACCAGGCCAAGGCTGGTCGATAAGCCGGGGGACTCACCTGGCTCGGACCGAGACACCGCGTCCTCCGGCTGCCTGCGGCGAAGGACAGAGGTCGGTGGGTCGTGACTGAAGGTATAACGGCGGCTCTGACGGCTGAGTTACCGGAGCAAAGCCGCAGAGAGGGACGAGCGAGCGAGCGGACACACTGCACTAGGACACGGGCCGCCATGTTGGGGAGAATTGCTGGAGGATCGGCGGCAAGAAGAGCCGGAGTAATCGAGGGCAAAGGCTCCGCAGTGCGCATGCGTACAACACAGGAGCGAGTTTATTTTAGACTTTTATAAACTTGTTTGTGCTTTAAAATGCGTAATTAACTACACAAAACACGAATAAAATTATATATTTAAATGTTAAAATAATAAAAGATAAGCTGTGGAAGAGCAGAGAAGCAAATATTCAACCCAGGCAATACCAATCGAACCCAGAATGGAAATTTAAAACAGACTTTATGGGACAAATTAGGTTTTGTATTTTATAACACAAACTGTGCAAAACAGTGTGCTTTCTTTGTTTGTTTAACTATAAGCAAGTTTGCACTTATTAAAATAATCAATTTAAAAAAATAATTTCCCCAGAAATCCCAGTAAAGGTGCAAAAAAATAATAATAATAAATAAATAAATAAAAACCTGTATTATGACTTTTTATAACTGTTTATTGTTGTTGCTGTTGTCCATTGTTGTCATCTTTCTTTGTTGAAATCAGGTCTCTCTTGTAAATGAGTCCTCGAGGCTCATTGGGATTTACCTGTCTCAATAAAGGTTGATTGAAGTATGAAATCAAACACGAAAAGGTTATTTAGAACTACATTTGATAATGGTGCCAATTGAAAGAATTTGCTCCAGTAGTTCCAGCTAAGTTGACTGCAATTCTGAAATGTGGGTCCACATTCAATGTGAACAAAGCACTTGGATGAATCCGTGAAAAACCATGTGGACTTTTCAATCATAAAATGGACCTGGGCTGTAGTTTGTGTAGGTAAACAAATATGGTCAAATCAGAAAAGCAAAGGATCTCAGAGAAGACATAAAGAGGGATTCTAATGTAAATGCAAAAATAAAAAAGGTACTTTGTATAAAACAAGTGAGTGAGCTGGTAAAAAATAGTTAAGCTGTTTATACACAATCCCTGTTTTCTGTGTCTTCTTTTAAACTATATACAAGCACAAAATGACTGAGAGAAGGATTCTGTTTTCTAGTATTTTCAAAATGCATTTTGTAGATGCCATGGATTCACGTTCAATAAACTGTAAAACTGTTTTTAAAACTTTCTTGGAAAAAGTGTGTTTTCTCCTACAACTCAGCTCTTTCCTGAACGGTCTGTGTCTCAGAAGACAGTGCTCATGTGCACAAACTAAAAAAAACTTTTCACTGACAACTTAGAAAGAAGATTCTTTAAAATGTGATGATATTCTGTCCTTGTTTTGGATGCTTTACATATGTAATAAATCATATACCACTCTCTGCAAAGCTTTTCTTTCTGCACAGCTGCAGAAAGAAAAGCTTTGCAGAGAGTGGTGAAGGCTGCACAGAAATCTGTTGGAATCAGTCTCCCCACCATCACAGACATCTACACCTCCAGATGCAGGAAGAGGGCCACCTGCATCATGAAGGACCCCACCCACCCAGCACACACACTTTTTGCCCCACTCCCCTCAGGAAGGAGGTTAAGGAGCATTAAGTGTAGAACCACTAGACTGAGGAACAGCTTCTACCATGAGGCTGTTAGACTCATGAATCTCTAACTAGAATAATCACTGTGAAAAACCATATCATGTTGCTGCTGATCTGTTTCATGTTGCTGCTGATCTGTTTCATGTTGCTGCTGATCTGTTTCATGTTGCTGCTGATCTGTTTCAATGTTGATGTGTTCATGCGTGCACATCTGCTCACAGACTCATGTTCATGTTTGTGCTGATGTTCAATGTTTTATGTTATGAGTGCTTAGTGTATATTTAGTTGATGTTTTTCTTAGTTCATATCTTCAATCAATCAACCTTTATTTAGACAGGTAAATCCCATTGAGCCTCGAGGACTCATTTACAAGAGAGACCTGATTTCAACAAAGAAAGATGACAACAATGGACAACAGCAACAACAATAAGCAGTTATAAAAACTCATACTACAGTTTTTTTTTTTTTTTTTTTTTTAACAAGTAGGATGGCTAAAAGGAAAAAGGTAACAAAACAAAAAACAGCTAGATTCCAAGACAAATGTAGAAAACTAAAAACAGGAACATGTCTGCATTGGACCCTGCCAGGAGTCCAACAGATTCTTAAAGCCACTTAGAGAGGTCAAGGTCGAGAGCTTCAAATCTTTTTGTAAGATATTCCAGGAAACAGGAGCGGAGTAGGAGAATCTTAGATGTATCTTAGATGTTATTACTGTTTTTCTTAGACATTTTATTGTTGGATGTAACTGGGACCCCGTGTACATAATTTCGCTACACCACATGTACCACATGAGGTGTGAATGACAATAAAGAAACTCTGACTCTGACTCTCTGATATAATCTTGTAGATATGACTGATTTGTTGAAATTCAAGATTTTTTTCTCCTCACTTCTGCTCATCCCAAACAGTGTGTCTTTTAAAAGAGAATGTTTGCTTTCCAAATAAGTTTGACAAGAAAAAATGAGCTTTTACAGTCTGCTTTTGACATCATCCAGTCAGATTTATTCCGTCTCAAACTGGTATGCTGATAAAACCAAAAGGATGTTGTTAAACAGGAAGTTCAAAAAGCGTTCAATACAAAAACAACTGGACTTTGTAACAGAAGACGTTTCGCTCCAAACAGCAGAGTGAGAGATTCAGGTTATAAGGCTGAGTGAGATAAGACACATATGTAGATTTGGCAATTCACGCCTAAACACCTTAACAGTAGGGGCCCCTCAAAAGTCTTTGTTACTCTAATTCACAGACGAGGCCCCTCTGTTCCCATCAGGTGTGAAAACTGGCTGGGAATCACTTTCAAAAACATATAATGCAACTTTAAGACTGATTCCCAGCCAGTTTTCATACCTGATGGGAACAGAGGGGCCTCGTCTGAGTAACAAAGACTTTTTTGGGGGGCCCGTACTGTTAAGGTGTTTAGGTGTAAATTGCCAAATCTACATATGTGTGTGTCTTATCTCACTCATTCTTATAACCTGAATCTCTCACTCACTGCTGTTTGAATTGAGAAAGCTCCTCGAATGAGCAGCGAAATGTCTTGTTACAAATAAAGTCCAGTTGTTTTTGTATTGAACGCTTTTTGAATTCATCATGTCCTGGATGACTGAGAATCTTCACCAGCATAAACAGGAAGTTGGTACCGGCAGTCCTTCCTTCTATCTTTTATGAATGATGTTCCTATTGAGTTTGTTGATTCTTATAAATGCATGGGTATATTGGTCGATTTGCATCTCTCCTTTAAGCCTCATGTCGAAAACTTGGTAAAGAAATTGAAAGTAAAACTGGGTTTCTATTTCAGAAATAGATCCTGTCTAACTCTGAATGCAAGGAAGTGCCTTGTAACTGTGACTTTCCTTCCCTCCATTGACTACGGTGACATTATTTACATGAATGATCCTACAAGCACCCTGCAGATTTTGGATGCTGTCTATCACGGTGTGCTAAGATTCATAACTGTCTGTAACCATCGTACTCATCACTCTGTATTCACTAACTGGTCACCATTTACTACACAGAGACTCACTCACTGGTACATTTTCATCTTTAAATCACTTCTTGGTCTGTTGCCTTCATACATCTCCTCCTACATGTAACTGCATGAGTGCAGCTAAAGCATGCGCTCTCAGGACATTATTACCTGCAGCGTCTCCTGAGTGTGAACCAAACTTGGCAAAAGGGCCTTCTCCTGCTCCACTCCTGTAACCTGGAACACCTTGTAAAACAAAAGATCTGAAGTTGTCGACTTTGACCTCTCTAAAGGATTTTAAACAACTGTTAAGTTCATGGCAAAAAACAATGCAAATACGTTCCTGTTTTTAGTATTTTACATTGTTTTATAATGTAGCTGATTTTGTTTCATATTTTTATATAATTTCTTCTATTTGATTTTCAATATATACAGTGCCTTGCGAAAGTATTCGCCCCCCTTGAACTTTTCAACCTTTTGCCACATTTCAGGCTTCAAACATAAAGGTCCATCCATCCATCCATTTTCTTCCGCTTATCTGGGGTCGGGTCGCAGGGGTAGCAGCCTAAGTAGGGAGGCCCAGACTTCCCCCTCCCCAGCCACTTGGTCCAGCTCCTCCGGGGGAATCCCGAGGCGTTCCCAGGCCAGCCGAGAAACATAGTCCCTCCAGCGTGTCCTGGGTCTTCCTCTGGGTCTCCTCCCGGTGGGACGTGTCCGGAACACCTCACCAGGGCGGCAGCCAGGAGGCTTCCTAACCAGATGCCTGAGCCACCTCAACTGGCTCCTCTCGATGTGGAGAAGCAGCGGCTCTACTCTGAGTCTCTCCCGGATGATCGAGCTTCTCACCCTATCTCTAAGGTAGAGCCCAGACACCCTGCGGAGAAAACTCATTTTGACCGCTTGTATCCGAGATCTCATTCTTTCGGTCACAACCCAAAGCTCATGACCATAGATGAGGGTAGGAACGTAGATCGATCGGTAAATTGAGAGCTTCGCCTTTTGACTCAGCTCTCTCTTCACCATGACTGACCTGTACAGCGCCCGCTTCACTGCAGACACCGCACCCATCCGCAAACATAAAGATATAAAATTTTATTTTTCTTATGAAGAATCAACAACAAGTGGGACACAATCGTGAAGTGGAATGAAATTTATTGGATGTGTCAAACTTTTTTAACAAATAAAAAACTGAAAAGTGGGGCGTGCAATATTATTCGGCCCCTTTACTTTCAGTGCAGCAAACTCACTCCAGAAGTTCAGTGAGGATCTATGAATGATCCAATGTTGTCCCAAATGACTGATGATGATAAATAGAATCCACCTGTGTGTAATCAAGTCTCCGTATAAATGCACCTGCTCTGTGATGATCTCAGGGTTCTGTTCAAAGCGCAGAGAGCATCATGAAGACCAAGGAACACACCAGGCAGGTCCGAGATACTGTTGTGGAGAACTTTAAAGCCGGATTTGGATACAAAAAGATTCCCCAAGCTTTAAACATCTCAAGGAGCACTGTGCAAGCAATCATATTGAAATGGAAGGAGTATCAGACCACTGCAAATCTACCAAGACCCGGCCGTCCCTCTAAACTTTCATCTGGAACAAGGAGAAGACTGATCAGAGATGCAGCCAAGAGGCCCATGATCACTCTGGATGAACTGCAGAGATCTACAGCTGAGGTGGGAGAGTCTGTCCATAGGACAACAATCAGTCGTACACTGCACAAATCTGGCCTTTATGGAAGAGTGGCAAGAAGAAAGCCATTTCTCAAAGATATCCATAAAAAGTGTTGTTTAAAGTTTGTCACAAGCACCTGGGAGACACACCAAACATGTGGAAGAAGGTGCTCTGGTCACATGAAACCAAAATCCAACTGTTTGGCCACAATGCAAAACGATATGTTTGGTGTAAAAGCAACACAGCTGAACGCACCATCCCCACTGTCAAACATGGTGGTGGCAGCATCATGGTTTGGGCCTGCTTTTCATAGCAGGGACAGGGAAGATGGTCAGAATTGATGGGAAGATGGATGGGGCCAAATACAGGACCATTCTGGAAGAAAACCTGTTTGAGTCTGCAAGAGACCTGAGACTGGGATGGAGATTTATCTTCCAACAAGACAATGATCCAAAACATAAAGCCAGATCTACAATGGAATGGTTCACAAATGAACGTATCCAGGTGTTGGAATGGCCAAGTCAAAGTCCAGACCTGAATCCAATCGAGAATCTGTGGAAAGAGCTGAAGACTGCTGTTCACAAACGCTCTCCATCCAACCTCACTGAGCTCGAGCTGTTTTGCAAAGAAGAATGGGCAGAATTTCAGTGTCTCCATGTGCAAAACTGATAGAGACAAACCCCAAGAGACTTGCAGCTGGACCTGCAGCAAAAGGCGGCGCTACAAAGTATTAACACAAGGGGGCCGAATAATATTGCACACCCCACTTTTCAGTTTTTTATTTGTTAAAGTTTGACACATCTAATAAATTTCATTCCACTTCACGATTGTGTCCCACTTGTTGTTGATTCTTCACAAAAAATTAAAATTTTATATCTTTATGTTTGAAGCCTAAAATGTGACAAAAGTTTGAAAAGTTCAAGGGGGCTGAATACTTTAGCAAGGCACTGTATGCTTTTATTATGATTTTCTACTGTTGTCTATACCTCATCTGTGTTCTTTGTTTAAAACAAGTCTCTCTTGCAAATGAGTCCTAGAGGCTCAATGAGACTAAGCTGTATAAATAAAGGTTGAATTGGACAACAACAAAAGGATAAATGGATGGGTATTCTTTGTACAAAATGCAGCAGGAAAAGTGTCACATTAGGGGTTTACTTAATTTTTAAAAAGTTATTTAGAAAAAAAGTACACTAAAGAAACTGTAGCTTAATACATCCATCCATCCATTATCTTTACCCGTTTATTCCATTTTGGGTCACGGGGGTCGCTGGTGCCCATGTCCAGCAATCACTGTGCGAGGGGCGGGGTACACCCTGGACAGGTCACAAGTCCATCACAGGGCCACATAGAGACAAACGAGACAAACAACCATTCACTTTCTCATTCACACCTAGGGACAATTTAGAGTTACCAATCAGCCTAACATGCATGTTTTTGGTCTGTGGGAGGAAACCGGAGTACCCGGAGAAAACCCACGCATGCACGGAGAGAACATGCAAACTCCAGCCAGAAAGGCCCCTGGACCGGGGTTTGAACCAGGGACCTGCTCGCTGAGAGGCAGCAGCTCTACCAGTTGCGCCACCATGCTGCTAGCTTAATACAATAAAGACTTAAATACAATAAAATCATGAACCCGCATATAAAATATGTAGACTGAATGTGAGTGAAATATGAAAAATGTGTTAACTTTAAAAATATACATATATATATTTTTTTTCTTTCTTTTTTTTTTTTCATTCATCCTTTATTTATACAAGTTAGTCTCATTGAGCCTCGAGGACTCATTTGCAAGAGAGACTTGTTTTAAACAAAGAACACAGAACAGGTACAGACAACAGGGACAAACATGTAAAAGGATTTAAAATGAAAAGTAAACAGAAGAAATTATATAAAAAATGAAAAAAAAAAACATTACAAAGCAATGTAAAAAAAATAATAATAATATAAGGCATATATTGAAGTATTGAAAGCAATGAAAGAAATCAAAAAAGTAAAAAAAAATGTTTGAACTTCAAAATTAGAATAAATCTTGTTTTTGTTGTTTGTTTTCTGAATATTTGTTAATCAAAGTGATTGCACATATTTCGTAATTTTTTTTTATTGGCTTTTTATTTTACATCATGTATGAAGAATTTTGCCTGGATAATTAACAAATTAATGAGCAATTCATTTTAATTTCCTTTTTTTTTACTTTGCTGTTGAGATATTTTTTAATCTTTCGGTACTTTTCGTCCCCCACACTTTCCGGATTGTGGTCGAAACGTTTCTCACTTTAAGAAACTGGTCCAGCTGACATGATTTAACCCTTTTTGTTGTTGACAACTGGATGATTGTTTTTTGTAAAAAAAAAGCATTGACGTCATATCCGCTCCTGCGCAGAAGACAGGAAGTAGCTCCGCTAAACGCTTCATATGTTATTGTCAAATAATTACGGCTAAATCGACTTGACAAGCATGGAGCTGTCTGAAATCTTGTACAACAAAGCGGAGTACATAGAGACGGTAACATTTGCGGTTTATAAATATTCTTTTGGCTGAAATAACTTGTTTTTTTATAACTCGCAGCTGAAGAAGAAGGGCGTTGGACTTTCATTGAAACCATTAAAATGGACAATAAAATAAAAAACACGCAGTTATCTAAATGGTAACTGGTGCTGTCATGTTCTTACAGGCATCTGGGAACAAGGTGAGCAGGCAGTCGGTGCTGTGTGGGAGTCAAAACATCGTTCTTAATGGCAAAGTAAGAAAACAGCTGAATGGTTTATTAAATAATAATCCACGGCCTTGTTCCTGATTCCTGTGTTTTCTCCTTCAGACTATTGTTATGAATGATTGCATCATCAGGGGAGACCTGGCCAACGTCAGAGTGGGGAGACACTGTGTTGTGAAAAGCCGGAGTGTAATTAGACCACCTTTCAAAAAATTTAGCAAAGGGTAAAGTATTTATATTTAATTTACATTACACTCTTTATGTTTAGGCCAGGATCACTCTGAGGAACTAGTCCTTGCTTTCAAACTGGTTGGTGATGCATTCAATGAGCAAAATTCTTGTTTAATACAAAAGTCCCCGATCTGCAACTACGTCAGTTTGTTTTCATCCAGTTGAATCCTTGCTGTATTTATCGTGTGAAATAAATACAAGCTGTATTTTTCTATTTTCTGTGTTTGTTTCCTTCAGAGTGGCGTTTTTCCCGCTGCACATCGGAGACCACGTCTTTATCGAGGAGGACTGCGTGGTGAACGCAGCTCAGATCGGTTCCTACGTCCACATTGGCAAAAACTGTGTGATAGTGAGTGAAATACAACATAATGTAACATTCTTCCTTCTCTGGGAAATCTGCTTCAAAGCATGTGCTGAAAACGTTCACAAAGAAGTTTGTGAGTCGTCAAAAGCAGCGTCTGAACTCATCCCCAGCAGCGGGGAGCAGCTTCAGAAAGGATCTTTAGTCACATGTCGTCTGTTGAAACACACTGTGGAGCGTACAGTCATTACATTTTTGGCATTTACTGAAAGTTTAGGTCAAATGGTTTTTTATATATTTTCAAGAGTTAAAAAAAAACTGAGTCGAGTGCAAGAAAGGGAGCACATGTTATTAATCAAAATCGGCAAATAAAATGTTGCAGTCATAAAATAATCTCTGCAGTTTTTCACCCTCTGTTGGATTTTTACCAACCTGTTTTTTTTTTTTTTAAGTAAATAAAGAATAATGTAAGATGTTGTTAAACTTTTATTTTATGACCTTGTTAGGACCAGAATCTTTTTTTTTTGTTTTATATTCTTATGTAAAATAGGTTGTGTTTTATTTGGAGCATGACTGCAGACAGTGGTAAAAACCGATGGGTTAAAATATGTAAAATAGATTTTTGCTTAAATTTGACTTTTTTTTTTTATATAAATACAATCTGATTTTTTTTTTTTTTTTTTTAGGTTTGTGTAAAATAAATAATCTGACTCAATCATTTGATTCAGACAAGTTTCACTCAGACATTAAGAACAAATTTCGCCTGATTTAAACGATGCTTCCAGAGTCCGTGAACGCTCTGGATCCTGCAGACGCGTGATTTGATTTGGTGTTTGACACGCAGGGTCGTCGGTGTGTGCTGAAGGAGTGCTGCAAGATCCTAGACAACACCGTGCTCCCACCTGAGACGGTGGTGCCGCCTTTCACCGTCTTCTCCGGGTGTCCAGGTCAGCAGGACGCTCGCACCGAACAAGTGAGCGCTTCTTCCGTTCTGGGTCGTTTTTAACGTTGGTCTCGTTTTGTCAGGTCTGTTTTCAGGAGAGCTCCCCGAGTGCACGCAGGACCTGATGATCGACGTAACCAAGAGCTACTACCAGAAGTTCCTGCCCCTCAGTCAGATCTGAGTCCAACTCCTCCGTCTACTGTAATGAACTCACGAGAGGTCGCATCGAGACAAACGTTCAGCTTTAGCTAAACAAGGACAAAAGATAGAAAGTGAAACGTTTCAAATCTAAAATATTTTTTAAACATTTGTCATCCCGGCATATTTAAGTGTACGTCAGATAAAACAGCTGAAATGTTTTTTATGAAGTTTCCCCACCAAAAGCTGAAGGAACTCTTTATTTCTGCTTAGTTTATGATGTTTGACTTCAGTTCCAGGTGAAGATGAAGAGGTGGAGCAAGAAAAGGACCAAAAGCGGAGCGAGGATTTCTTCAGCGGCGTCATCTGTAGATGTTCTCCACCCGGTGAAGAATAAAATTGTGTAGCTGGACATTAGACACGTTTTAGCTTTTCTCTCCAACCATCTTTTATGAATTATAAAAGTACTGAGTTTGTTTTGGAGCTTCAGTTAACGTGATGACTTGTTGCAGCGCGTCGCTCCGAGTGCACAGCTGCTGACGATACGGAAAGATTTAAACCTGTTAATAAACTAAAATGGATCGAAGTGCGTCTCCAAGACATTACTCACAAAGAGCTCTGTTGATGAAGCGTAGCGTCGCATGCATTTTACCAAGTAATCTCTTCTTCGTGGTGCTGTACCTTCAATGCATCTGTTGCAATGAGCAAAATAACTGCACGGCAGTGAATCAAACGCCAGAGCTCAAGTGGAGAAAATATTGTTGGTGCAAGATTTAGAACATTCAGGGTAATTAGTTTTACACATTCTAATTCAAATGGATTTATTTAATTGTTTAACCCAAAATAACTTTAATCATAGTGGTCAAATGTCCCTGAGGAGTTAATTGACACGGATTTAAACCTGTTAATTTATTACATGCTCTAATGGTCAATACATGTTAGTTTCACTTCAGATTTTCTGTAATTTAGTGACATTTTTGAGCCACTTTTCAAATGTCTGAGTACAAACACTTCTTGTAAATTGACTTAATATTTATTGTGCTTTAACAAAAACATGTTTGCATATTGGTCAGTTTCATTAGCTCAAGGCTTCAATTTATTTTTAGAGAAATTAAGAGAGAAAATTTGGAATGTGGAGATAAAATTATAGTTCCATACTCTTTATCAAACTCACCCAGATATGGAAAATGTTAAAAACACATTTCTAATTTAAAAACTGCTTTTAATGATCTTCTTGCAAACTATTATAAAATAATTAGACTGAACCCAGTGACTTCCAACTCAAGGTTTTATTTATTTTACAATGTGAACCACATATATTATACCAACAATCATCTGTTAAGGTTATAATTAGCCATTTATGGTTTTGTTTGACAAAGGATCAGTTGGCTCCAGAGACGTGTGGCATGAGTCGGCCTTTTTGAAATCATATAGACGAACACTCTGACTGGCTAAGGGATGGAAAAACTAAACAAAAAGTGCCACCTTCTCTGTGACCACACTAACCAGTTTGGGGCACTGGCTGCAGACAGGACAGGAGTTTGGACCAGTCATGTGTGACTGCTCAAACTTCTTTCTATATGCGGTCAGAACGTGACCTCGCTGTAAACGACAACAGAGCGGTCACCGCTTCCATTTTGTTGAGCAAAAACACTTTACTGAATTATAAAAAGCGTCTTACTAATCCACTGGCTTCCTTTCGTTTTCCTGTGAAGTATTTTGTAATGAGTACACAGTAAAATCTGGCTTGAAATGCAACATTTTTCATAGTAATCCAGAAACATGAAATAATTCTTACACATCTTTCATTTTGCCGCGAACGTTAATCTGGACTTATTCTGTTGGTTCTGAAGCTTCAGGTGCACAACTACCAGTACTTTTTGATTTACTGACAAATCTCTACGTTTGTGTACAAGTATAAAAGCTTAAAATGCAAAGTATGAAATTAGTGACCAAACTGTAACAGCGGAGTAAAGCTGACAGGCTTTATACAACTTGATACAAACTTTTGAGGCCAAAAAAAAATGTTTAGTGGCACAAACAGATCAACAAATGGGGAATAATAATAAACATTTATAAATCAAAAGTCTGATTCAATGGCTTCAACAGAAAACTTCCTACTGCAGGTGGGATTATTAAATTTATTATCTAAACTCGAAGATTTAAAATCTTTTACCATCAAGTGTTCAAACAAGTTCCAGTTTAGCTCTGATCTTTTGGAGCCCCACAAAATTAAATAAAAACTAATCAGTTCAAGTACTTTGTGCCTAAATTTACAGACTCATGTGGCAGTGAGCTTTGTCTCCAACAACTTATAAATTAAATTACTTCCCCAAATTCATCAATCTACACCAAAAAAATGAAAGCTTCCTAAGTTTTTTCTTTTTCTTTTAATGCACACGTCCCTTTAAGATTATCTTCTGTTTGGTCTTAACACATGCCCATATAACTTTTTTTAATTTACAACTTCCTTGGAGCACCGATCATTTCCCAATAAATTAAATCTTTTGTCAAATAAAATTAAGGACTCTGAATTTAAATGGAGCACTGAACAGAAAACGCTCCACAGCGGTGAACAAATACTGTTGAAGAGGTTGCTGAGAGGGGTCGTCTTTTTTTAAAAGCACCTAAACACAAGCGGGCCTGGACGAGCTGAATACGATGGAAGAGTCGATTTGTTTACACGAGTTAAAGGTGGAAGCTAAGTGCAAAAAAAAATAAAATAAAAATACTTATTGCAACTCATCAGAATCATCGCACGAGCATATAAAAACAGAAGCTGCTTTCGTGAGAAGACGCAGGGAGGGGAGGGCATCAGTCAGCACGTGGCCCGTTTGAGCAGATGTACACACAAAAACTTCCTGTTGTCTTGAAACAAAAACAAAAAATGCAAAGTGAAAAATCCTTGTGGAGCTAGAGCTGCTGCAAACAGCCTGCCTACAAGTTTAACACTGGTGGATGAGTTGGAGAACGTCTGAAGCCGAGCAGTGAGCAGAGAATCTGGCCTGAACGTCCAAACATTAAGAAGCTGTTCCTGGTGGTTCAGCGCCCCCCGCCCCCAGCAGACAGATATGTAGCTGGTTAGCTGGGTGACACCACACCAGGTGAACCAGCTCCACCTTCAAGAGCTGTGATGATGATGTAACAGAAAACAAAGCTGGTTTGCTTGATGAAGGGCCGAGCCTTTGACAAAGTTAGGTCCAACAAACAAAAGTCCATCTGCTGAGGGAAGCTGTTTGATCATGGCCCTCACTTCCTTATTAAGGTGATGGGTGAGGATGAGTGACGGTAAGGGAGAGGAAGGGCACCGATGTGTCAGGGTGCTCTTCCACCTCCTGAAAAGTGTTCGATCCAAGAACTGATTAGAGACCTCTTCATCGTCTCCTTCATAGGCCAGAAAAGCGTGAAGTTGACTTTCATCTAGCTCTCTCTCACACACGCGCGCGCACGCAAACACACACTTCTGATTGTAGATCAGTGATTTGTACGTATAGTGTTAAAGGAGACAAAGATAGCATCCATGAGAGCCGTGACACTTCGACTACAGCCCGTGCGCCTGATGGTCTGTAGGTGCATCGACGCATCAGTACTTCCACCCGTCGCCCTCCTCCCACCTTCACATCAGATCATCCTGTTGCGTTTGTGCGTGGGGGAGTCCGTGATGACATCAGTACATTGGGTGGAATTTCGTTTCCTGGTCCCTCCCCCTCCAGCGGAGGCAGAGCCCGTGGGGTCCAGATGTCGCGCCATCTCCTCGGAGATAAAAGTGTTCAGGTCGACATCTTGGAGCCCGTTACGCCTGCTGCGGCACACGGGTCCGGAGCCAGACGAACTACCTCCACCCGTGTTGCTGCTGCCGCTCCCGCTCACGTGCGTTGGAGAACTGGGAGCGCCGGAGCGCACACTGATACTCGCCATGGCGCCACTCAGACCTGAGGACAAACGAAGAGATGAGTTAAACACTTTACAAGAGAATATCACATGAATTTAAAAATTGTTTTGAATATTTTTTCTACGTATAACGAGAAGCAGTAAATCTGTAGACGAGACCTGTTCCAGTTTAGTATTTAAACATTTTAGTATTTAAATATCGTGCCATTTTTATTAGTGCAGACAATCCAGTGTTTCCCCTACCATTATACAGGCGGGGTGCCCCACCCGTCAACAGAACTGAGCACCCCGCCTACCAAACTTAACTTGCCCCTCCCACACCCACCCAGCACTGACATATAGCGGCACAAAATACAGGCTCTCTAGCTAAAAAGCCCAAGGCAGCACTCACATTGCCTCTTCCCTCATGTTGAACGCCCCCTGCCCCCGCTCAAAAACTGTTAGTACAAGCTGCGCTCAGACATGTCTCCCCCCCACCCCCACCCCAATCAGCAAAAATCATGGATGAGATGAGCGCCCAGCCATGGCAAGCTAACTAGGGGAAACACTGCAATCTAGTTATTATTTTTAAGACATGAACACACAGAACTAAATACACAAAAAATTCAGCATGTATTCTCAACCAGTTTTATTATAAACAAACATATGCTCCATCTTAACAGTAGAAGAGCCTGAGTGTATTATAATGAAGCTAACACACAGTCAAACACTAGCTCCCCAAAACAAAGCGACTTTTACAGTGAAAGCACACACACGCAAAAAAATATATATATTGTGGCACTTTTCAAAGCTCATCTTGGGCCTCCAAGATGGCTGTGCTCAGCCGAGCTGCAGCTTCACAGGCTCCCGGTGAACTTGATCTTTTTATGTTCCTATTGCCTTTGGTTTAACTTTTTGTTTGTTGCCTACAATGTACATCCACGGTACGGGTATGACTGCGACACACTCGTCAAGTTTTGTGTGTTGCTGCCTTGCCATCGTGGTTCAGTCCTTCCAGCCTCGGGCTCAGGCCTGCCATGGCGGCCGTCTCCATGATCCTCCATCTGACTGCACGGACCAAACTCTACGGACACGTTCAGTTCTGCAGGGAAACCTTGGATGTTCTCCATCTGCTGGACCAAGTTCTTGAGGACAGTCTGGGAGGCAGCTGCTGTGGTCATTAGTACCATCAAGCTGCTGACGGGACCTGATAACAAGATCACACCGCTACTGAACCGCACTGCTAACAGTACATGGTGCCAATGAGACTATGGTACAAGAACCCTCACTGCTAGGGCTGGGAGATATGGACCAAAATTAATATTCACGTTTTTAAGATGAATGGCGATATATGATATACATCTCGATATTTTTCTTTCCATAAAGTAACAACAAAAATATATTTGGGTCACAGCTTAGTCCCAGTTGTCACACAGGCACCTTTACTAACAAACAGCTGTAACTGTACAAAATAAATGTCTAAAAAATATTTTTTTTCCTACATAACAAAACCAAAAACACAGCTGTGCACTTAAAATTTAAACAGAAAACATACAGAGCAAACATAACAAAAGGCTGACTTGTTCTTTAAAACATCCAATTTTAATGAAATATATTCATTCAACCTTCATTAACAAAGCTGTTAGAAAGCCCACATTGTTGTGTAATGGCTTGTTTACTGAGCTTTGTTCTGTTTGGTTAGGACTCGTTTCTTTCTGAATTTCATGGTTCCTATGCTCCCGACACGGACGGAGCCTTGCCGTTTGAGCTCGTTTGCGCTTTACTGGTTTGCTGTGTGTAAATACCAGAAGAAACGCAGCAAATAAATCACCCTAAAGCCCCCAGTATACTGCCACGTACATCCATACGCAGAGGTACGCACGTACGTATGCGGAGGTACGCACGTACGTATGCGGAGGTACGAGCGTATCCCCCAGGGCATGTCCGTGCAAAGCTCAAATTTTTACGACCACATACGAGTATGCGGTGTTGCACAATAAACTGCCCAGCGAGGGACTGTTTTGTATGCGACACCAATGTATTAAATTTCCCTTCTTCATCCCTGATCTGGCCTTTTCTTTTGTTTTTTTTGCCAAGAGGCAGTGATCTCTTCCTCCTCTGTTGATGCCATGACTGAAATGGTGAGAAATGGAGGAATTTGTCACGAGCGAATTAAACTCGGGTCCAGCATGGCTGCGGGAGGGTCTGGAAATTTCCTGGTGGGCTGTTCTGATGTGTGGGCTGTAGAGCCAGCGCGCTCTGTTTTTTTTATTTTATTTTTTAGATCTTTTTATTAACAACATATAAACACAGAACACCGCTGCGGCTGCCAGCGCTCGCTTTTTTTCTTTTTCCGACCTGTCAATCAATCCAGTAGGCTTGTCAGCAAATGACCAATCGGTGACCTAAATTTGTCCCGAAGGTAAACATCCCTTGTCTGTGAAGCTGCTCTGCAGCTGCTCAGGGTGTACGCTGGAGTACGAAGTCTGAACCCTCGGCGTACAGTACACGTGTACGTACGCGTGAACGGACGTACACGGCAGTATACTGGAGGCTTAAGCTGGATATTTGTCTCTGTGTTTGTTAATGAGAAGACTACTTCACACCTTGCCACTCTAAACCAATTAATTTCCTGGAGAACACCAAACTCTCCTTTGTAGCAGCTGTTGTGGTTACCCAATCTGTTGCAGAAGCACCATCCGTAGTGACAGCTCAGGGTCGTATAGGTGATGTAGCGCTGCTTCTCTTCACCACGAAGCGGCGCAGTTTCACCATGGAAATAATTATAATATTGGTTTATAATCATCGTGCTTAATTTCAATGGTAATTAAGAGTTGTGTAAATAAAAACAACCACTTTATGCTGGCTTTGATTAACTAATCATTTGATTGATTAATTATTAATTAATAATTTAGCGTCCGATATATTGTATATACTTTTTTTTTTGTGCCAGCCATCTAGTGGTGTTTTTTATTTATGCAACTCATTACCACCGAAATAAGGCAAGCACTTAAATTAGTGGTAATTTCTTATTGATTATAAACCAATATTATAATTTCCATGGTGAAACAGCGCCGCTTTGTGAATATTAAACCTCTGCTGACCAAAAGTAAGACTGACTCTTGGTTCTCTCTCTTTTTTTTTATTTTTTTTTTTTACAAGAAATGTCTGTCCAAACAGGTCTCACTTGCTAATGAGTCTCTGAGGCTCAATATGATTTATCTGTTTAAATAAAGGTTCAATGAAAAAAAAATCTATTAAAGCAAAACAATTTTTTATCTACAAATTATTAATTAATAATTAACCAAATCAATCAAATGATTACTTGATCAAAGCTAGCGTAAAGTGGTTGTTTTTATTTACACAACTCTTCATTACCACTGAAATAAAGCACGATGATTATAAACCAGTTCAAAAAGCATTTAATACAAAAACAACTGGACTTTATTTGTAACAAGACGTTTCGCACCTCATCCGAGGAGCTTTCTCAATTCAAACAGCAGAGTGAGAGATTCAGGTTATAAGGCCGAGTGAGATAAGACACACACACATATGTAGATTGGCAATTCACACCTAAACACCTTAACAGTAAGAGTCTTTTGTTACTCTAATTCACAGACGAGGCCCCTCTGTTCCCATCAAGTGTGAAAACTGGCTGGGAATCAGTCTTAAAGTTGCATTATATGTTTTTGAAAGTGGAAATCTGAGGCCTCCTCCTCTGTTAAGAGACAGCTTTTCTCTTTTTACATAAATTGCTTCCTTCACCACCATCCCCTCTCAAACCATCTGTGTTCTTGGTCCAAAATTTGCACATTTTGATCCTCAAAAGAGTGTCCCTTATCTGTGAGATGGAGGTGAACAGCTGAATCTTGTCCAGAGGAGGTGGCTCTCCTGTGTTGAGCCATGCGTCTGTGAAGGGGCTGTTTAGTTTCTCCAATGTAGAGGTCTGGACAGTCCTCGCTGCACTGGACTGCATACACTACACCACTCTGTTTGTGTATGGGTGGACCAGCCTCTGTCTGAGAGTCCTGCTGGGTTTGAAATGTACTGGGATGTTGTGTTTGTTGAAAATCCTTCTGAATTTCTCTGATACTCCAGCAACATAAGGGATGACAATGTTTTTCCGTCTGCTGTTCTCCTTTTTCTGTTTATTAGTGTGTTTTGTAGATTTCCTCGCTGACTTGACAAAAGCCCAGTTAGGATATCCACATGTTTGAAAAGCTTCTTGAATGTGTTTCTTTTCCTTTTCCTTCCCTTCTGTCTTTGTGGGGATGCGTTCGGCCCGATGCTGTAAAGTTCTGATGACAGAGAGTTTGTGTTCCAGTGGATGGTGGGAGTCAAACAGACGATACTAGTCTGATTCTGTTTGACTCCCATCAGATCTTCAAGTATAATTATAGCTCTATGTATATTATTTTATATTGATATAGTCTCATTTTATATCGCGTATGAAATTATCGATATATCGAGATATCACCCAGGCCTACTCACAGCTAACAGCATCAACTGGACCATGTTGCTAAGATAACCTCACTGTCATCAGAACCACTCTGCCTTAGCTGCTGTAGATTTATTCTTTTTCACTTTTGGTACCTTGTTTCTGTATTTTTGTTGCATGCTTTAAATAAATCCAAGTTTATGTTAGTTTTGGGGTTGGCGCCGAGCTCGACATCGCTCGCATCGGTGTGTAAAATATAGCCGAACAGAACCTGTGAGAAATGTGCTGCTGTTGTTCGGTGTATTGTTTTTGCACTATTAGTGACTAGCATATATCTTAGATCTTTTAATGTACCGTTGGGCATTCTTTAGCATATATCTCGTTTATATTTCTTAGATCCTTATTTACGGTTTCTTTTTACATTTTATATTTTTGCTATTGTTGGATGTAACTGGGACCCTGTTTACACAATTTCGTTCCACCTCATGTGCCACGTGCGATGCGAATGACAAAGAACCTTGAATCCTTGAAAAGAAAAATAAGAAATCAAACTCACACATCACCCCATTTGAAGACGACAAGAGGTACAACCACTTATTTCAGACAGCTTTTAACAGCGGACAAGCAAACCATCTAAATGTTGTGAAACTAAAATGTAAAGCAACTCAAAAAAAAAAAAAAAAAAGTTGTGAAAGTGTATCGGATAAGACAACAAAACACTGCAATAAAAAATAAAAAAAATCTCAAAGTTCTGTAACTATAGCCATTAAATTCCTACAGATGCCCAAATGCCTCAGCTACAAACAGCTGTTGTATGGATTTGTGCAGAGTGCTACAGAAATACAATCACTTTCATGATATTGGAGCTAAAATGCATCTATAAAACTAAATGAAAACATTTATTTTGTCCAATGTGATCAGACAATTACACAGTAAGAGTTAAAGTAATGCTGTTTCTCCATTGGCTGAAACTGACACGCCCAACCAAAACATAAACTTATCTCAGGGCTCCATGTGGCAGAGACGCAGACTGAAGCATGTACTTTCTGTCTGGCACAGAAACAGATACAGAGTCACCTGATCACACCACCTAGAGTTTAAATCTGACCTTCTGTGGTAGCTAAAAACAGAAACTTTAACTTCTTAGCAGATCTCACACACACTTAGGAACCTCAACAATAAACAGAAAATATCTGAGGCAGTAGTGGTTGAAAATTTCCATAAAGACCAGTAGTAACAACATTTTCTGTCCTACACTACACCTCCCACATATATCTGAAACAGATCCCCAGCACACTGTAGTGAGCCCAAATAAGGCTCAACTTTCCTTACCGTGCAGTGCTATGGCCTCCCTGAAGGGTTGAAGGTCTGTTTCCACAGATGAGCCAGTCTCAGCTGGGGAATTGGCCCGGCTGGGGGCCACCATGGCCAACCGAGAGCTGGTCCTGCTACTTCTGTGTGGTGGTGCTTTGCCGCACAGAAAGCTGATGAGATCCTCCCTACGGATGGTTCTTCTGCGCTTTTTCACCCAGGCAAGCATGTCCTGCAACCCAGCAAACATATTATCTACTGTTGTTCAAACATAACCTAACACGAAAGCATCTGTTCTCTACATGGTAAATATGTCAAGAAGGTGCCGAGGTGTATCAGAAAAAAACAAAATGGCTTTTACACTGAAAGCACAAAAAAATATTATGACACTTTTCAAAGCTCATCCAAAAGAAAAATAAGAAATCAAACTTGCACTGGCCAAGTCTGAGTTTCTAAGTTTTATTCAAGACATCAGGTCAAAGATAAATAAAAAAATTATATATGTCAAGATGTAAAGCAAAGCATCACCCGTTTGAAGAAGACAAGAGGTACAACAGCTCGTTTCAGACAGCTTTAAACAGAGGGCACGCAAACCATAAACGCAAAGCAACTCAAGGAACCAAAGTTGTGAAAGTGCATCAGATGATAAAAGACAACAACAAACAAATATGATAAGGACAGAGGTTTGCCACAAAAACCAAAACAAAACAAACAAAAAAAACGAGATCCACCTTGTTCCGACGTTGGTGACCTATCTGGATGCCTCGATCAAAACTTCTCTGATGGGCTTCCACACTCTCTGTAATGATAGAGGACAATATAAATTTTTTTTTTACTACCATGAACTGAGTGGTCAATGGTCTATTACAATGTGTAAAATGTTACATCAAATAATTCCCATTAACAAGATTTAGTTTTGACTCTGGGAGAGTTATTGTTAAAAACAACAACACAGCAACACACAACTATTGGCATTAGTTTATTTTTCCTCTAGTGCACAACCCTCATACCGAGGTAGGTACCGAACGACAACACTACAATGAAGCACAATTAGCAGCTCTCAGCTCTAGTATGTACCGGTAAAAATAAAAAAGAGGGACGTTTACCTTTGTAAAGGTTTGTCACAGCTGTAGCAGCGTTCTGAAATGGCACCCACAGTGACAGGCCCTGCTGGTGGCATACCCGGTCTGTGGGAGAGAAAACAAATATGTTCATTTACTACTCATTACCTAACACTGATCTGTTCAGACAGCAACCATATGATATTGAGACTAATGTGGCCAAAGCACAGCACAGGGGTTGAAGTGAATTTCCTTCTGGAACGCCATTTTGTCTCTGTTCTACAACTGCAGAGAGAGATAGCATAAAAATAACTGTCAGCAAGCACTAGATGGCCAACTTGGCTCTGCAGGAAAAAAAAAAGCACCGAACTTAACTGTCCTCTCAGCAGTAAAGTTAAGAGACAAATGTAAAAACAGCATGCAGCTCAAACGGGAATTCACATAGCATGACAGGAATAACATTATGGACGAGTAGAGACGCAAATAATTCTGCGAGCAATATATTATCCTCGCCATTTTGTGATTATAACGCTTGTAAAAAGTCACTCTTAGACGTTTATTATCGTCTGTATCGCTCGAGAGCCATTACTTTCGGACATTATAACTCTTTAAAACCCTCTTGAAACTTGGTGGTAAAACTGACAGCACAGGAGACACCGTCAGCTGGGAATGTAGCGTCGCTACGACTGTTGTTACCAACGCCATTTTGTAACTAGTTTGCTAAGATTACGCTAGCGCCGGTCCAACTTACCGTTAACAACTATGCGTTATAAAAGAAAAGGATTTACGGCGACTTGTTGAGATTTTATACGGTTACAGGCATTTATCTGTCGAAATAAGCGTGTAACATGGTTTTTTTTTCCCCCTCAAAGAATTACTGCCAAACCAGTTTAATCTATCAGAAAAAGTCACCTACGAACGGAACGTTCCAGGTGTTGTGGCGAAAAAAAGCAGCCCTGCTGTGGAAAGCGCTTTTCAAATCGATTTTATTCACAAATTAGGTAAAAGTCTAAAGTGACTATCAGGCTGGTGTTTTTCACTTTACTTAACAACACGTTTAGTCAGGTTTTTTTTTTTATGTATTTATTTTAATAAAGCCTCTTACGGTGCTTTTTACAACAGGGGTCTGTTTTTCGACACAACACTGGAACCGGCAAGCTAGCTGGCTAACAAGCTAACTAGCATTGAGTCGAAGCTGAATGTAAATTCACAGTATACTGTAGATACGTAGCCAGAATGCTAACAAACTAGCCAATGCCACAATGGTAAAATAATGTGTCACTGGACCAACGACCAAACAGAGCACTGTTTTCCACCTTTGTATAACTGTGCCACGGCTGTGGCGGAGTTCTGGAAAAGATGCCACAGCTTATCCTGATCGTTGTCGGGCTCCTCTTCGCCTGGCTCCATCTGCTCCGCTTCGGCCAAACACTGCCGCTCCCATTTTGAGAACCAGTGCTCCGGTCCGTGTTCCTGTATTTCCGACTCTCCGTCTTCCTTCTTATCCTCCATTTAATGCACCAAAACTCGAGGGAAAATAACTTCTAATATTTCAAATGTGTTTATATTGACATCTTGTGAAGAATTATACGTGTAAAGTCATAAATACTGTTAAATTTTCAGCTTTTTCTTCCTACGAATACTGCGTCGCAACCTCTCCCTACTGGCAGAGCAGATAAAGCTAGCGAAATATTTTGTCCTAGTTGCAGACGTCGGAATATATACAGGCAGACTATCGTGAACGTACCTAATCCCGCCCATCTCTACAGACGCCAACAGCAATTGGTCGCATTCCTTTGTGGGCGGGATTACATATTTATTTGGAGGATAATTGGCTTTTAGACCCGTCCATCTCAGCTCAGACAAAACGTGAAAATGAACCAACCCAACTACAAGTACGTCTCAAAAAATTTAAATATTGTGAAAAGTTCACTATTTTTTGTTAGTCATTTCAGAAAGTGAAACTCTTATATTATATAGATTCTTTACAAATAGAGTTAAATTTGCAAGCCTTTATTTCTTATAATTTTGAAGATTATGGTTTACAAATAATGAAAACCCAAAACTCAGTGTCTCAGAAAATTAGAATATTGTGATAAAGTTCCGTATTGAAAAATTCATGCACACTATGCACAGATGAATCCTAGACATGTGTTACAAATATCGCATTCCTCATGTCAAGCCAATCCTGAACCAGGGAGTACATCAAAAGTTTTGTGACATGACAAAAAGCATCAAATGTCTTGACTGACAAAAAATGGTGCTTTTTCACAAATTTTTATTTTTTTTAGATGCACCTGCACAGTCTGAAAGTTAAAATTTTGTTGCAAAATGTAATATCCATCCATCCATCCATCTATCCATCCATCATTCATCCATCATCTTCTTATTCCGAAGTCGGGTCATGGGGGCAGCAGCTTTAGCAGGGAGGCCCAGACATCTCTTCCAGCTCATCTGGGAGGACTCCAAGGTGTTTCCAGGCCAACCAAGATACATAGTCTCTCCAACGTGCCAATATGAACAGTATCAGTGACAACAGGCAGCCTTGGTGGAGTCCAACTCCCACCCTGAAGGGGTCTGACTTATTACTGGCAATGCGAACCAAACTCTCACACCGCTTGTACGGACCAAACAGCTCGTAACAACGGACCCCCAATCCCATACTCATGGAGCACCTCCCACAGTGTGCCTTGAGGAGCACAGTCGAACACCTTCTCTAAGTCCACAAAACACATGTAGACTGGACGGGTAAACTCCCATGACCACTCGAGGACCCTAGTGAGGGTAAAGAGCTGATCCAGTGTTCCACGGCTAAGACGGAACCCGCATTGTTCCTCCTGGATCTGAGGTTCGACCAACAATCGGATTTGCTTCGCCAATAGACCTTACCAGGGAGACTAAGGAGAGTGATGCACCTGTAATTGGAGCACACCCTCCGGTCCCCCTTTTTGAAGAGGGGAACCACCACCTCAGTCTTCCAAACCAATGGCACTGTCCCCTGATGTCCACGTAATGTTGCAAAGGCGTGTCAACCAAGACAGCCCCACAACATCCAGAGCCTTAAGGAAATCAGGATGAATCTCATCCACCCTCAGAGCCCTGAAGTGGCAGAGCTTTTTAACTACCTCGGCGACCTCAGCCATGGTTATGGACAGACCACTCTTGGAGTCCCTCGACTCAGCTTCCTCCATGGAAAACGTGCCGATGCTAAGTGTACTTATGGAGACCCTTATATAAACATAGTGTTTGTGAGGGACAAATTATAACTAGCACAGAAGTCCAACAACAGAACACCGCTCGGGTTCAGGTCAGAGAGGCCATTGCAAAATATAATATATAATAATAATTAATAATAAATTGTATTATTGCAATATGGGCACCGGCGACCTCCGTGACCCAAGGTGGAAGAAGGGGGTAAAGATAATGGATGGATGGATTATTGCAAAATGTCATAATATTGTAATTATATGAATATATATATAAATAATAAAATATAATATTAAATTATATAATACAAACACATATGTATATGTGTTTGTAAGTTATCTAATATAATAATTTTGATTAATAAACATATATATATATATATAAAGTTTGTTGTTAATTTTTTCAATGAGATTTTTTTTTATTGCTTAAACATTTTAAACCAACTAAGAATAACATCAAAAGATTTGTTAGATGAATGTTGCAAGAGTGAGTAATAGGGGTTTCCTCCAGTTATCTCTGCATCTAGTCAACAAAGAGGTGCTAGTAGATGGATAGATGGATAAAGAGTTGTTGTGATAAAAACACTAGTAGTGCACAATTCACGTTAAGAAAATTGTTTTCATATTCTGATGAAACTCTCAACTGTGTTTTCAGTGCTACATTCTAGGACATTTAGGTCTCCAGGAGGTAAGGTTTAATTCTTCTCAATGTATGGACATGGAACATGTTGTGTGAGGCCACAATCTGGTCCATCTGTATGGAATGAACTGAAGACCTGACAGTTTCGAGTGTGTGTTTTTTATGTCAGGTTCCTGGCCTCACTTCACATCACCAATGTCATGATTCAAACCTATGATCGAGGGCATCGATAAAAGTAGATTGATGGATGTGCTATCACTGAAAGGGCAAAGCCTAATCCTCGCCCTCCATCCACAAAAAAAAAAAAAAAAAAACTTTAAATACCATAGCTGCAAGAAATGTTTTAAATTACTGGTACAACTGAACCGATATTGCAACCAGTGCATCCCATGGTGAAAAGATGGTGTTAGGGACAGATTCCTACCAGTGTTTCCATGGTGAGAATGAAATGTGTCCATGCAAAAACAAATACACCTGAGAGTGTGGGAAATAAATTACAGTATGTCCATTTACTGAAATCTGTTTTAAACACTTTATGATTAACAATGGGCAGCACGTGGCGCAGTTGGTAGAGCTGCTGCCTCTCAGTGAGCAGGATGCCCCGGTTCAAATCTCAGTCCAGGGGCTTTTCTGGGTGGAGTTTGCATGTTCTCTCCGTGCATGTGTGGGTTTTCTCCGGGTACTCCAGTTTCCTCCCACAGACCAAAAACATGCATGTTAGTAACTCTAAATTGTCCCTAGGTGTGAGAGAGTGAATGGTTGTTTGTTTCGTTTGTCTCAATTTGTCCCTGTGATGGACTGGAGACCTGTCCAGGGTGTCCCCCGCCTCTCACACAGTGATTGCTGGATATGGGCACCAGTGGCCCCTGTGATCCAAGAAGGAAGAAGCGGTTAAAATATAATGGATGGATGGATATCTAGACGACTTGTGTGAACCAAATTATGAAATCTTGTCTAAATCAGAGCAAAGCAAATGTCTTTTTTTCCAGAGAAAATATACATGTGAAACAGTCAAATTGAACCATACCAGCCCAACCCTGGGCCCCCCACTAATTACAGCATACCAAATGACTTTAAGAACGTGTCTGGTCTTCATTTTCTGCACGTAAACGCACGTAGCCTTCTGAGAAAACTTGATTCCTTGAAAATTCTGGTCATTTCTTCTGGGGCAGATGTAATCTTCATCTCTGAAACCTGGCTCAACAAATCTGTACTCAATAATGACCTGGCAATCAATGGATTTAACATCTACCACTGTGATCGTCAAAAAAAAGGGGGGGGGGGTCGCTGTTTACATCAGAGATTCTTTGGTTGCTAGTCCTGTGTCTTCTAAAACAATTCCTAACCAGTTTGAAGTCTTAGCTGTAAACATCACTTTGAATGGTGGCCAGATCTTATCTGTAGTCTGCTGTTACCGTTCCCCCTCAGCAACACCTGAGGCTCTGTCCTCCTTGATGGAATTCCTTGGTAATTTAAAATTCAAAGAGATCTTTTCGGCAAGAGACATCAACATTGACTGGGGTAAGTCAACCCCCCTATGTGATAAATTCAAGGAATGTTGCCTGTCTCTCAATCTTACCCAATTGATCAACTCTCCGACAAGATTAAACAAAAACTGTCCTGAAAAATCCTCCATCTTAGACCTGTTTCTAACAAATATGCCTCACAAATTCCCTGGTACGGGTTTATTTGCCAACATTTTGAGTGATCATTGTGTGACAGTGGCTTTGAGAGATATTAAACTTCCACCTTCTAAGCCCAGATTAATTCAAAAAAGGGATCTGAAACATTTTTGTGAACAGTCATTCCTCTGGGATCTGTCTCACTTTGACTGGTATCGTATTCTGTTAACTGATGACGTGAACTCCGCTTGGAACTATTTTCATAATGGTTTCATTTATTTTGTGAACAAACATGCTCCTTTTTGTCAGTTCAGAATAAAGGGATGAGACAGCCCCTGGTTTACTCCAGAGCTAGCTGACCTCCTGCACAGGAGAGATCATCTTTGGGCCACAGCGAGAAAATCTGACTCAGGCACTGATTGGTTGAGTTTTCGACAAATGAAGAATAAATGTACAACTGCTGTCAAAGCAGTAAAGCGCAACTATTTTTTATCTCAGACCTCCAAAAATCTAAATGACCCCAACAGATTCTGGAAAACCATCAAATCTCCCTCAGGCACCCCCCAATCATCTGACCTCCCATCACAACTTCTCGTTAACTCTGTTCCTGTGTCAAATAAGCACGAGATCCTGAACTGTCTCAACAAACATTTTGTTGCTTCTAGTTCTTTATTTGACACAGTCACTAATGGAAAATCAGTCACTTCACTTAATAATCAAACTTGTACAAATCAAATCCCTCCCACAAGTCAATCCTCAGTTAAACACACCTTCTCTTTTTCTCCATTTTCAGTCAGTGAGGTCAATAAACTGTTAAAAGTTCTTGACCCTAATAAATCTGCAGGTCCAGATAACTTCCACCTTACTTCTTAAGGCTGGCTGCTCATATCATCACAGTCCCTGTGACCCACATCTTCAATCTCTCCATAAGACAAAACTCCATCCCAGACACTTGGAAAACAGCCATTGTTCTTCCTTTGCTGAAGGGAGGTGACCCCACCTCACTGAACAACTATTGGCCAATCTCTAAACTCTGTATTTTAGCCAAGGTTCTAGAAAAACTGATAAACTCTCAAATCAAAAATTACCTGGACTCATTTAACATCTTACCTCCACATCAATCTGGTTTCAGGAAGCAACACAGCACAACCACTGCTTCACTGAAGGTTCTTAATGACGTTGTTGAAGCACTGGATGCTAAGGATTATTGTACTGCACTTTTCTTAGACCTGTCTAA